TTTAGAAGGCTGACTCAATTGAAAAATAGGTGCTTGTTAGAATAATTTTTTGGAGTTTGACTGCAAGTGCTCCAGAGAAGGATCCAGATTGGGAATGACAAGACTTAGAATAGCCAGGGTTAAAATACTTAAAAGTAGTTTAGGAATTGTCCAAACATCTAGTTATTTTCATTGCAGACAACATTTTGACTGACAGCATTAAAGAAGCAACACTAAGTGCTCCTTGTTACAGTTAGGAACAAATGGATACAATATACCTGCTTGGTAAAGTTTTTTAAGCTTTGCATTTTAGAAGGCTTATATATTTGGGGAGTATAAATACATTATAAAGGAACTGGCAATAATCAGTATCACAGCTACATAGAGGTCAGATACATATATTAGTTTAGCTTTTTTTTTCTTTTTTAGAGTAAAATTTAGAATTTTGGCTAGTAAGATAAAAGGTGTACAACACTGACAAAAGTCAAAACTTCAAAACTTTATATCGCTTACAAGTTAGGGGGACAGTGCCTATAATCCCAAAGTCTCACTTCCTAATGTACAAGTACATTTCATATATACATTACCACTTATTTGGCTAAGACATATATAGGCCAGGTTTTAAATAGCAGAATTGCCCAAATGGCAGGTTGTTTCTCAATGTTACGGATTACAAACAGCAGAACTGCCAAAAGTTTCATTAACCATTTTATATGCCAAAGGTTTAGATGGAATGCTTTTGGATAAGAGCATTTTAGCTGGTCATTTTATATATAAGAAGCTGACTTTTTTTTTTTTTGTGGTACTGGGGCTTGAACTCAGGGCCTACACCTTGAGCCACTCAACCAGTCATTTTTTGGGGATAGGTATTTTCGAGATAGGGTCTCATGAACTATTTGCCTGTGCTGGCTTTGAACCGTAATCCTCCTAATCTCTGCCTCATGAGTTGCAAGGATTATAGGCATGAGCACCTGCAAGGTGACACACTTTTAACTCTGCAAATGTTTGTACAATATTTAGGTAAAGTCTAGAAATATAGCTCTACATACTTTTAGTCACAAATCTATAGTGTACCAGTTGTGCCAGAATTATCCAAAACAACAGTTGTTCTATTACACAGATATAAGATGATCATTTAAGAGACTTTTATATGAACAGATAACTTAAATGAACTCTGATTTAATGTTTAGTTTTTTAAGTAAAGGTTTGACAAGATCAACAGAAAACATGAGTAATTATTTTGATAAAATCTTTCCTTACAACAGTTTTTTACAGATCTTACTTAGAGCAGAAAAATGTTAAGATAGCCTTGTTATTTTATGGACATAGAGAATCTGCTAGAGGTTCTAGTTTAACATGACCCTAGAAAAATCTTTTAGGTAACTCAGATTTATAGTCAACTTAATCACATACCTAAACTTTTATAAGTTCATTTATTATATACTTTTAAGACCTACTAGGACTTATATGTGATGTTCTGAACCTTCTGATAGTTTGTTCTTATCTCTTCCATTAGGACAGACCTTTTTGCAAAATCCCTTTTCATTTAGTAGCACTTTCTTATTTCCTTTAACTTTTTCCCAAAAATATTTCTAATACTTTTTTATATCCTTTATAGACCCATGAAGAAAGGCAATCTTAAACTGTTTTTCTATACAATAAGTAATTTATAGACACCATTTGTTAATAGATCTAATTATAAAAGAACTGAATGTAAATTGTACTTACACAGGATGAAACAGATTAAGGTTACTATCAATAAAATAATGCCTGCATTCTAGTTAGACATGATTGGCATAAAACTTTGAAAAACTGGTTTGTCTTAAAAGTGGCAGCAGAAGAGTTGGGGGAGGGAAGAGAACAGAAGCCTTTTATTTATTTATTTTTTATATTAACTCTATAATAAGAATCATCCTAAAGATGTTTAAACACATACATACACAAAAAGTTTTAAATTAGGCATGTCATAAATGTCAATTTAAATGTGCATAGATTGGAGGGCTCAAGAACATGTAAAAATTAACTAAGTGGCCACAAATACATTGATCAGGTATTTTTTTAATTTTTAGAAGTGGATTGAAGTGTGTACCATTCTGTTCTTTTAAGACTTATTTTGGGCTGCTTGATAGCTGATGCAAGAGTCAATTTTAGGAAAGTGTTTTGAGTCAGTCTCAATCTCCAATGAGACTGTTGCCATAGCTATCAGATTTTTGTCTCTAATAAGTTAATCATTCAATAGATAGACATAAAATTCACACAATGATGCAGAAAACAATTACATTAATTCCAAGTGTACTTGTAGATATTGAAGGCTTTAGATTTACCTGCAGAGGGTGTTTTAAATAATCTCTAATAATAGTTTAGCTTCAGTTACAGTAGTTTTGTTATTAACCAAGTCTTTAAAGTACATTTAAGGAGCCTAGTCTTGGTGTGGTGTTGGCATCCCATAACCTTGTCTGGACAAAGGATACAGGATGCATGAGGGGATGCACAAGTTTGTTCTCTTATTTTATACTAAAAATGTGTTTTTAAACTAGAATTTGTATGACAGGCTGGGAAAAGGGCAGATTGTTGTGGTAAAAAGGATTACATCTCCATTGAAACTGGTGATAGTAAGCATGGAAAAAGTTAGACTGAATTAGCCCCTCAAGACTTAATTTTAGATAAGGGGACTAATGAAAAAAATTTAAATGCTCCATTGAATCCATAGCAGAACTCAGGAAGGCTGTCCTTTTGCCTTTAGCTAATCCCATAACCTAGAAAACTGAAATTTTAATTTTAAACACATGGGGCATTTTAGACAGAGAATTTAAATTTTGTCTTTAGTCCCTCCAGCCTGTGTGCACAATGAGGCTGAGGATGTGGGTCCATAATCCTGACCACATAGTGCCTTGGCCAGGAAAGTGAACAGGCCAGCCCAGGGTTGCCACCTGCAGTGACCCAGAAATGACCTGATCCCTCTTCAGTCTTGACATGTCTGCAATGTGAAAACCACCCATCTCAAAAGCAAGACTTAAGGAGAAAACTGTTAGTAAAATGTTTAGACAGACTTAGAGGCTTAGTTTTAGGTGGGAAACCAGATCTAGACGGAAAATTACCTCCAATAATTAGCCACATGTCATTTAGATTTTCAATTGATTTTATGATTGTAGTCCTGGGACCATGTGAGTCACTCAGGACGCTGACAGAAGTGACAATGTGACTTGAGCACAAGTCTTTCCCTTTCTCCCTGTCCATTTCTTTTTCTTTCTTATTCATATGTGCATACAATGTTTGGGTCATTTCTCCTCCCTCCCCCTCCCTTAACACCCTCCCCTCCACCCTCCCTCTCTTCCTTAGACTATCTGCCATAGAACTGGAGAAAATTTTCACACTGAATCTGGAAATCAAAAGTGCCCTGTTTAGGCCAATAGTTATCATTGTCTAATTTATACTAGGGCCAAATTATGTTACAGTAAAAAAGATTAACCATTTGGGCTTTAATGGTCTTTGTGAGCCCTAGAGTCTGAAAGTTTTGGAAAAGACATGCCAATGGACTGTCCTTTGGGGGCTTGGATGACTTTTGACCCATTTTGTGGATTGGAAATTGTGGGTTCAAAATCGATATGGTTCCAGTGGGACCCAAGGTTCGAACCTGAGACGATTCCCATGGGATTAACACTGAGCTTGAGAGGTGGAGAGCAATGCCCACAGTGGCCCTACCCAGTGGGACAGGTGAACAAGAAGGTGGAGCATCCTCACTGCCAACTGATAGCCTACAAGTAGGTGCACCTGGATATCTTCCAGGCATCCCCAGAAAACAGCAGGTGGATCCACCCAGTGGTGGATGAAGGGAGTCTCTCGCCCGGCTGGAGCTTCCATAGTCCACAGTAGGACGTCCATAGTAGGACTAGAGAGAAACCAGGGTGCAGGGGATAATTTACCAAAATTTGAAAGCTGGTGTTGGGTGGAAATCCAGCGATGGAAGATGGTCTCTGGAGGAGCTGTAATAGAAAAGGAAAGGAAAGGGTGGGAGAGCCGTGAAGGAGAGAGACAGCGGGGCCAGGGGAGGAAGACTAGCCTCCACTCAGGGTCGGAAGAGCTGTTGTTGTCCACTGCTTTCCAGATTGTGACAGTGGAGAGCTGGGAGTAGAACCTACACGCCCGTCTCAGGTTTCAGCACTGTTAGAAATGAAAGAGGCATGGGAGAGGCAGAGAGGCGGCTCAAACGCCAGCACAGGGTTTACTGTTGGGAAGGATCCCTGCGGAGCAAGAGAGCGGGAGCCCCAAGCCGCTTACAGACTTGGAATAGATACAGGGGAGTGGTCTGGAGGCGAAACTCCGCTGGGCGGGGAAATTCTTCAAGTGGAGTCAACCATCACTAGGGGAAGCTAGAGGAGATACGTGGTAATCAGGTAGGTAAGTTGCTCAGCTTTGGGCCCTCTGGCGAGGTGGTAGCTTGTCATTTCCTTGAGGTTAGATGTGGTCCTTGCAGTGGGTGGTGGGGGGGGTCCAATCCTAAGGTGCCTTCACCCTAACATTTCTATCTAAGCAGAAGGAAATGCAGTAATTTAATATTTTCCTTTTATTAGGAAACTTAATTTGTAATTTACTAAAGCAGTAAAAGTAAACAACCTTTCTTTCCCCACCAAAAAACCTCCTTGGGCTACTTCAAGGACCAGTGACGTCATCATCAGTTGAGAGCCCCTTAGCCCTGCCCAAGATTCTCAGAACCCAGCCCAGACCCAACGGAATTGTAGTGTGCACTGAATACTGTGGCCGGGTGACCACGTGCAGTTTGAGACGCCCTGTTCCGATCTGCTTTACTTCAGAGTCAGTATTTGCTGAGAAAGAACTCACCGATGCAGCCCTCGAGCTCCTCCCAGCAGCATCCCCATTATTCCCCGCGGGTGTTTAAGGCCCTCCCCCTCCGGAAGCCCGGGGGCGTGGCTGGGGGCGTGCCAGGGTCTGCCCAATGGGCGCTCCTAGGCGGGGGGCGGGGCTGTACTTCTGCGGCGTCCGCGGGGCGCAGGCAGATCACGTGTCGGCCTCAGGATGTGGCGCTGGGCAGGCGCTGGCTGCGTGCAAGCTGTGAAGACCTGCAAACTTCCAGGACGTCGGGACCGGCCTGCCGCCCTCATGTCCACTCTGCTCATCAATCAGCCCCAGTATGCGTGGCTGAGAGAGCTGGGGCTCCGCGAGGAAAACGAGGGCGTGTATAATGGAAGCTGGGGCGGCCGGGGAGAGGTAGGCGGCGCCCGCAATCATTGCAGCGGGGGTTTGCTGGCCGCGGCCCGCACTCTACCCGGCTCCCGCGCTGCTGTACAGGATGGGAAGTTTGCAAGCTCCACCGGAGACGTTCTGTCCTGCAGAGTGCCTTTTGAAAAACAAAGAACACCTTAAGAGTTTTAGCTCCTCGTGTGCTCCGAGGAATCGATGTAATTTTAGAGTTGGTAGGGAGCTAAACTTACCACGCATACTTAAAACCTTATGGCACAGTCTTTGGGATCTGCAGGGAGCCACGTCACATGCTTTGTTATGCAGTTTATCTAAAATTTTAGCTTGATTGTACCTTTTAAAATGTCATCTGCTCCGTAAATAACTTCAACAGTGTAGTTTTAGGTGGTTCTCTTTTCTAAAATTCTTTGCAGTTCGTACTTGCTAAAGTCTTGTGAGCTTTTTGTGCGAGGAGGAGGATTTTTAGCATTTCTTTATTGCCCAGAGCCTCAATACCGTGTCTGGCACCCACTTACTGTTCAATAAAATGTTTTATAGCATGCGATACAAAGGTAAAGTTACTATTACCCTAATTGATGTTCAGCAAACATCAATTCTTTTTAGTATAAAATTTTTTTATTAGGATATATTCGTTATAGAGGGGATTAATACTGACAGTTCTGATTAGATTTATATTGTACATTGGTTAGATCACTCCATCCTCTCTCCCCCTCGACCCCCTCCCGGCTATCACCCTAATTATTTTGAAAAAAGCACACAAAAGGCAGTTTTTGTAGGAGAACGTTTTGTGATAGTCAACAAATGTCATATGGTGAACCTGTTTTGTTAGAGGAAATGTGTCTTCCTCATTATCTGTGGCTGCAGGAGGTGCAGTGATTTTGTTTTCCAGACTCTGGTGTCTCACCCTGTCGTTCACGGTGCTTATAATCAATAGTCCTCGGAGCAGATACACTCCCCCGAGGGCCTTTTAGCTGCACTTTGCCTTTTTAATCCACCAGAGACCGCTCAGGGTTGTGTGGATCTAAGCCATTCCCAGAGCTATCTGGACTTGGCCATTCCATCTTCTAGCCAGTGGCTGGGCAGAGTAAGGGAGAAAAGGAATGAGTAAAACCCATCAGGTTGGTCTGTTAGGGAAAAAGGAGTTGAAGTAACAGGTTACATTAAGGCTTTTGTGTATATGCCTAGTACTCAAACAGCAGGGGTAGATCTTAATATTTGGGTCAGAAATCAGAGTTAATGTAAAGGTTCCTATCTTGGACATTGTATCTCTCTTTTTTTTTCTCTATTTTTCTTATTTGGTCAGTTCTCTCAATTTTTAAAAGAGCTATGACTTCTAAATATATCTTTTTTTTTTAAGGTTATTACGACCTATTGTCCTGCCAATAATGAGCCAATAGCAAGAGTCCGACAGGTAAGTTTGTAAAATTCAAGCTATTTATAGGGAGTTTGTGCAAGTATTCTTTAGAGGCTAAACCCAATTAGGCAGACCAAGAGCAATATGAATGTACAAGTGCAGCTGGAGGCGTAGTTCAAGTGGTAGAGCACCTGCCTTGCAAGCTTGGAGCCTTGAGATCAAACTCTAATACTGCAAAAAGATAAACAAGAAAATGTACAAATGAAATGAACAATCTTTTCATGTGACATCAAGAATGTCTAAGACAGGCTGGGCCTGAGAAATTGAGATCAGAAGGATCATGGTTCAAGGCCAGCCCAGACAGAAAGCAATTAAGACCCCATCTCAACATTCTGGGTGTGGTGGTTCATCTTTGTAATCCTAGCTACATGAGAGGTGCAGGTAGAAGTATTATGTGTGGCTGGCCCTAAATTCTATTTGAAAAATAAAACAAACAAACAAAAGTGTTGGGGGTGTGGCTCAAGCAGTAAAGCACCTACTTAGCAAGAGGGAGGCCCTGAGTTCAAACCCTAGTACTACTTAAAAGAAAGAGAGAAAGAGAGAGAATCTCAGAGGTATTGTTCATTCTGGCAGGAGTGGTATGTAATAAAAAGTTAAATTATAGAGGGATTAGAAGAGAGTCCTGTTCAGGAACTGCTTCAGAATCACCTGAGGATTTTGTTAGAATGAAGGTTCTGATTCTGTAGGTCTGGGTTGGAACCACAGGTTGGTTTTTTTTTTGTTGTTGTTGTTGTTGTTTTGTGGCACTGAGGTTTGAACTCAGGGCCTTAACCTTGAGCCACTCTACCAGCCCTGTTTTTGTGAAGGTTTTTTGAGATAGGGTCTTGAGAACTATTTGCCTATGCTGGTCCATCCTCCTGATCTCTGCTTCCTGAGTAACTAGGATAATAGGCGTGAGCCACTGGTGCATGGCTGGTTCTGTTTTTTTTAAATTGTGGTACTGGGGATTGAACTTGGGGTCTTTCTGGGCAAGCTGCTGTAGTACTAGAGCTCAGACCCAGGCCTTTTTTTTTTTTTTTTTGTGGTACTAGGGCTTGAACTCAGGGCCTACACCTTGAGCCACTCCACCAGCCCTTTTTTTGTGTTAGGTATTTTCAAGATAGGGTCTCAAGAACTATTTGCCCAAGCTGGCTTTGAACCGCTATCCTTCTGATCTCTTCCTCCTGAGTAGCTAGGATTACAGGCGTGAGCCACTGGCATCCGGCTAGCTGTTTTGTTTTTAGACGCATTAGAGGGTCTGGTTTTCCGTGCAGGTCAGGTGTTGTTTCCAGGTGAGGCTACTGGACTTTGCTTTGAAAACACAGCATGAGTCCCTCCTGTCTTTTACTGGGTTCTAGCCAGTTTTTATTTTTTTAATTTAATTTGAACCCAGGGCCTTGCTCATGCTAGGCAAGCACTCTGCCATTGAACTAGCCCCTGGCAGGTTTTAGAAGCTTAGGCTGTGGAAATCATTCTCAACCATAGATCTTTTTTTTTTTTTTTACTGTTCATTTTCATCCTAATCATTTCTTTTTTTTTTTTTTTATTCATATGTGCATACAATGCCAATTCTTGGGTCATTTCCCCTCTCCCCCCACCCCCTCCCTTACCAACCACCCCACCCCCTCCCTCTCCCTCAACCATAAATCTTAGGGACACCCAGAGATTTTCTACTTCTTTTCCAAAAGAATGTATGTTATGCTCTAAAGGAGATTATCCCTTTTAATTCTTTTCTCTCCCCCTAATTCATAGGCCAGTATGGCAGACTATGAAGAAACTGTAAAGAAAGCAAGAGAAGCTTGGAAAGTCTGGGCAGATGTAAGTATGACTTTTATGGTCCAAAGCACAGTTACCTGCTGTAACTCTGATAAGATAAATAAACATCTGACATAGATGAAATGTGTGCTCCTTAGGGCTGTGATATGTCTGCAAAGTGTTCCTAAAATGACGCCTTTTCCATATTTGGCATTCAGTGAATGGGTAATTTTAAGTGGGTTAAGCTCTGTACTGATGTAGTAGTATAAACTGGAGCTATGAATTCTCTGTTCTCCACTGAAATTATAATTGAGCAAATAGAATGGAAGACCTATGTTAACATTACCTCTTTGCTCCTTCTGCCTCCCTGTGCCCTATTTCCCTGGGAGAGAGAGGCTGTCCCTATGGAGGTCACATTTGTTTCTCAGGGTAAGGGCTCCCACTCCTTGGTCTCAATCTCCACCAGCAGTTAAACGAACAAAAGTGAAAACTGACCAGCACTGAGCCACACTGATCTGTCACTAGGTGGGGGCTAGTTCTGAGGAGGGGAGAGTAAAGGAGAGCTGGCATCACTTGGGTTTCCCGATCTTCTCTGCCATCTGTCTTCAGACTGCTTTGCCATAAAAAGGGGAGACCAGGAGTACTCATCTTCTGGAGCTGTCATAAGAATTAAATGACTTAAACATTTGAACTGCTTTCCAGAGAGTTGGGTACATGGTGCTCCTCAGTCCGTTACAAAATGACAAGCTGCTGAGTCAATGATTGAAAGGAAAGTTGGGCGGTGGGCAGGTGGGAAGAGCAGACTCAAGATCAGCCAAAATCATCTTTGTGCAAAGCACAGAGAACCTCTTTCCTCTTATCTAATTTTGGATATGTTAGACTTGGGGTTCCATTGTATGCAATAAAAAGTATCCTTGAGTAGAAAAATTCCACTTCTCAAGTAAACAGTGTGCTAAACATAGTTCTTCACTGTCCCAAACAGTGTTGTTTATTGTTTTAAAAATTTTGTCTTTCTGATCATAAAAGTAATACATACTTCTTATTTAAAAATAAAAAAGGAGGGCTGGAAGCCAGACATGGTGATGCAGGCTTTATCCCAGCACTCAGGAAACTGAGGCAGGAGGATCGAGAGTTCAAGTTCAGCTTAGGAAACATGACGAGACACTGCAAAAAAAAAAAAAATGGAGGTTTGGGGGTGTAGCTTAGTGGTAGAGCACTTGTCTAATATACTTAAGGTCCAGGATTCAATCCCCAGCACAGTTAAAAAAAAAAAAAGGTTGATACAGTAAGTATGATAATCAGATTTTGTCCCTTTACTCCCAACCTCTCCAATACAAAATGTTAGTTATATTTGGTGGATATCCTTTCAGTCCTTAAGTGTTTACTCCATAGTTCATAAATATACATTGTATGTGTAAAATTTTGAGACCTGAGATATTGCATTGTGTACCAGCCTAAAGTTCATATATAATTTTTCAAGTTATTATTTTCCTATATGTACACTTTAAAAAATGACTAGACCGTATCTTTTCAGAGCAGTTTGTAGAAAGTACAGAAAGTTCCCATAGACTGCCTCATTTCTTTTCCCCTCCTCTATAATTAATATCTGGAGTTAGCATAGCCTTGTTTGTTACAGTGGATGAGCCCGTATTTCTACATTATTACTGACTAAGGTTAAAATTGGGGTTTGCTACCTGTATACATTGTTTTGAGTGCTCCTGCAACTTCACATGTTGTCTTTTGATCAGAAACATCTGTTGTGTGTATGTATTTACCCAGGGTAAACAGGCAAACATTTTTGAAAAAACTCTTTTCCTAAACTGGCTTTTAAGACTGTCTTTGGTACTCCATGGGGGGGTAGTGGCTGACATAAAATCTTGTTAATATTGTGTTATTCTTTATTGTAGCTATTGTCACATTCAGGATCTCAGATGGCGCTCTACTCTTGGCCAGCAGTGGCAGCCTCTAGATCTAATGTCCTCATGCTGCTTGTGCCTTTTAGACCTCCCAAAGGAGTGGGATGCTCAGTAGGAACATGTCACTTTGCAGGGTGACAGTAAGTAGGACCGGTTGGGCTCTCATTTGTTAGAATTTGAGTTAAGCAATTGAGTTCAAAGTTTAGGGTAGAGACAGAGCCATTCCTAGCTGTGCCTCTGGGGCTGTGGTCAATAGGGCAGTGACTTAGAGAGGTAGCTTGTGCCTCAAACAAGAGCAGATCAGGGCCTAGCTGAATCCCAGCACTTTGGGAGGCTGAAGCAGAAAGATTGTGAATTCAAGGCCAGCCGAGACTACACAGTAAGACCCTGTCTCCAACACAAAAACAGAAACCAAACCAAAAGAGAACAAACCAATGCTTGTGGCCCTCCTGGTTTACAAACGTTCCATCTTTCTCCCTTGTGGGGCTACCCTGCTTGGCAATGGCTTTGGCTGTGTTGGGACAAACCAGTTTCATTTGGTTCATTTGAATTGAGCATAAAATTTTCCAAAAGGAACATTTTTCTTTCTTTTTAACTTCTTTTTTTTTTTTGGTGGAAGTAGGGTTTAACTCAGGGCTTCTCACTTGCAAAGCAAATGCTCTGCCACTTGAGACACACTGCCAATTCATTTTGTTCTGGTTACTTTGGAGATTGGGTTTTGTGAACTATTTGCTGGGGCTGGCCTTGAACCACAGTCCTTCCAAGTAGCTAGCTAGAATTATAGGAGTGAGCCACTGGTGCCCACCAAAGGGAACATTTGGTGGGCTTATGAAAATGGATTTCTTTCTCTTAACTTAAACTGACCATAGAAAGCCTTGTTAGGTATACCGAGACTTGCTGCTGTCCTTTGTGAACTGGTTTCCTCTCAGAATGAACTACTTCTTTTCCTCTGCAGTCCCTCTGTGTCCCGAGTTTTCATCCCCACCTCTGGTGAGAAAGAGCTGGAGCCTCTTCCATTGTCCTTGAGTATTATTAATGCACCATATCTCCTAACTGCAAAAATAAGTACCCAATAACAGGAGCTCCTTAGCAGGAGTTACTTTGTCAAAGCTTGGCCGTGATTCCCTCTCTGAGTAGGAAGTAAAACGTCACGTGAATGGCCATGCTGAGTTGAAATTAACCAACTTGGCTAAACTTACACATGTCCTGGCTAAATTCAATCGGAACATTATTAAACCCAACTCATGTGCTAGGGAACGTATAGGATTTCTGCTAATTCATTCCACATTGCAAGTTTTTGTCTCCTGTTCCAAAAGAGTGCATATATCATAAAAATGGCAAATATCGCAGACATATTAAATGTGGAATGAAATTAATAATTCCTGTCCCTATAAATTATTACTTTTCTTTTTCTTTTCCTTTCTATTTTTTTGGTAGTACTCAGGACCTTGCTCTTCCTAGGAAAGTGCTTGAACACTTGAGCCATACCTCTAGCCCTGTTTTATTTTATTTATTTTGAGACAGTGTCATGTTAGGTGGTTCAGGCTGGCCTAGAACTCGAAGTCTTGCCTACACTTTCCAAGTGTTTGGATTATAGCTGTGCACTGCCATGCCTGGTTAGAAATGATCACTTTTAATAGTTTGATGCATGGTCCTCCAAACTAAAGCAAAAGTTTACTTACATATATGTTACTTTGTTCTTTTCTATTACCCTGTTTTAGGTCTTGTTTTTGTTTTTTTTTTAATTTACCTCATTTTTTAGAGAACATTCCATATTATGGCAGTTATATTAACCCATCACGTGCTGGTAGACATTTAGATGGCTTCTGCTTTGCTCCACTAGAAATGGCACACAGTGAATATTGTATTCTTTTGCATACTTATACATCAGCTCAATTTCCAGAAGTGAACTGCTAGTCAAGGTTGAGAGGAATGTTTTAAATGTGAATAGATTGCCACACTACCTTCCAGAAAAGTTATTCCAAGACAGTGGTGTCTTGAGCTCTCAGTCAAATCTGCAATACAAAGCATGAGCCAGGCTGTGTGACACGAGGGGCAGGGAAAGATGGGCTCTGACCCCCGGAAAGTTTCCTTTTAGCTGCCTTTGGAAGGGGAGGTAGAGGAAGAACTAAGGGGACAGATGGTCACAGTTGCAGAAAGTGTGTCTGCATTTGTCATCACATTTCAAGTTTAACTTGGTGCGTTCTGTACTCTTTACCTCCCGAACACTGGCACTCCTCAGCCCCAAATCATCTTCATCCACTAGTTCAGTCTTCCTAACTTTGAAGCCAGAGACCTGAGTCAGCTTTCCATTTTCTGTATTTCTGCCATCTAGGCCATGACTGTGTCCTGTCAGTTCTCTCAAAATAGGTGTATGTTCACCTTTTGTCTCCCTTGTTACTATTGAAGTGTTAAGACTAAGTCACTGAACTCTGCCAGAAAACTAATATGTTCCTAATCAGTCTCCCTGCTTTTATTCTTTCCTCTTCAGTTTATTCCTGCCAGACAGTGATATTGAAAGATGAAGCAAGTCTTATTCTGCACCTTAGAAGCTATTAAGTATTTCTCATTGTACCTGGAATAACATTCTGACTCTTTATTTTTTTGGTGGACCTGGGATTTGAACTCAGGGCCTCACACTTGCTAGGCAGGGCTCAACCATTTGAGCCACTCTGCCAGCAGATGCTCACTCCTTAAAAGCCTCTAGCTTTATATGCACTTGCCTTCCCAAACAGCCCCTTTTATTTTCTGTGATCCCCTTTCATGGTTTTTCTTTCACCTCAGTAGAATATTCCTGTTTCAGGTTTCAGTTCCAGTCTGACCTTGGAGATTTTCCCTTCCTTCAGTACTGCTATTTTCTGTTTCACCACCTCTTTGGTTTCCTTTGTCTTTATATTCCTGATGGCAGTTTGTAATTATTTATTGCTTTTTTTTAATTACCTCTGTACTTCCCAGTAGACATTAGTCCATGAGCACTTCACTTCTAATTTTAGCCCCATCGTTTAGCATATTGCAGTCTTCATGTAATCAAAAAGTCTTCTTTGATGTGATTGTGGTTTGTTCTATGGTGCACACTGAACATGGCTATAGACATGAAATGACACTTTGAATCAGACACCAAAATTCTTTTTTTTCTTAGATTCCTGCTCCAAAGCGAGGAGAAATAGTAAGACAGATTGGTGATGCCTTGCGGGAGAAGATCCAAGTTTTAGGAAGCTTGGTAAAGTATTTTCATAGTATATAATAATCCTTTGAGTGGAAAAAAAGACAATCATGCATTTCTGTGTATAAGATTGTGATTTTTTTTTTTTTTTTATTGGTGACACTGGGGTTTGAATTCAGGGTTTACACCTTGATCCACTCCATCAGTCCTTTTTTTGTGATGAGTTTTTTCCGAGATAGGGTCTCGAGAATTATTTGCCTGAGGCTGGCTTTGAACCTCAGTCCTCCTGATCTCTGCCTCCTGAGTGACTAGGATTATAGGAATGAACCACCGGGGCCTGGCCTCAGCCACTGGTGCCCAGCCAAAATTGTGATTTTTGAGAATAGCAATTTATAAATTTCAAAAATTCTTTCTTTAGATGAAAGATTAACGCGATAGACAGGAAAAAGTGAAGAGAAATCTCTGTTTTAAAAAATTCTTCAGAAAAATAAGAACGGACTTTCTTCAGTTTATTTCCTTTAGAAAATGTTTTACTTTGCCCTCCTCAAGGAAACATGAATTCTCTTGGGAAAATTCTTGTTTTTTTATGTTTCCAGGTGTCTTTGGAGATGGGGAAGATCTTAGTGGAAGGCGTGGGAGAAGTGCAAGAGTACGTAGATATTTGTGATTATGCTGTTGGCTTGTCGCGGATGATCGGGGGACCCATCTTGCCTTCTGAAAGTAAGCCATGAAGACTGTGAAGCCAAGAGCTTTGTTCTCTGATACGAGAGCTCCTAAAACCACTGGGGCTGTGAATAGTTTGCAAGAGAGGAATTGCAAATGGGATATAAATATATGAAAATATCCTCAATCTTTCTAAGAAATGGAAGTTAAGATTTCTGAAAACATGAGATCAAGAACCTTTTTTATTTTGTTTTAAAGAAAAAACTCAGTTTGGACAAATCCATAGGTGAGATGCTCTTTTAACCCATTTAGAAAAAAATTGGGACATATACCCAAAGAGCCTTACATTTTAAAGCAGGTTTTAAACATCTATGTAAATAATCTAAAATGTGACAAAGGTTTATGTGTAAGCTGTTCATTGTGGCTTCAAGATACATTAGAAATAACTTAAGTGCCAAGTTGTAAGGGAAACATTAAGCTAATTTTGGTAGACTCTCAACATGTATTAAAATGTTTATGAAGATTGTCAATGCCTAACCCTCATCCTCTTTTTCTTTTGAGACAGGGTTTCTTTTCATATCCCAGGATGGCCTTAAATTCACAATCCTCTTGTCTTGGCCTCCTGAGTGCTGGGATTTTATAGGTGTGCACCACTACACCTGGCTTCCTTCATCTTTTTTTTTGTTAATAATTATTTTGTTATAAGCTATTATAATTTAGCCAGCTCTAAATGGTGGATATTTAGTGTGTATTTCAGTCTTTGCTATTATAAACTATGCTGCAAAGGCCCACCTCATACTCCAAGGACAGTTCACTGATGAGAATAAGGGTTTATGCCCTGGTTATGCTTGCAGTGTTGACAGAGTAGAACAGGTGTATGTGTGTCTGCTTTGCCCATACAGAGGGTAGGAGTATGTCCAAGTGGTGGCTGTGTTCTGTGTAGCACTAGTGGGGGTTTTATTGTGTTCTATTTTTCTGAAATTTCCATAATGGGAATTATGTTACATTTGTAATCAAGAATTTTTGTTAAAACAAGATATTTTTGCTTTGCTGGGACTGTTGGGAGAATTCTCTACTGGTGGAAAGAGCTGGAGAAGCTTTTTTAAATGTGTGACTAATGTTCTTAAATACATGAGTGAGTCCCATTATTCGAGATCAACTTTAAGTTACTGAATGCTTTCAAGAGATTTTTTTTTAGTTTAAAAAGTTGGTAAACTGAAAAACAAACAAACACCAAAACAAAACAAAAAGTAACCTGTGTAAGCCCAGTACCACCAAATAAATAAATAAATAAACTGCCTCTAGTTTGGGGAAGTATACATAAGTATACATGTGTAAGCAAGTATATTCTTTGATTTATGGTGTCTGTCTCACCAATTACAGTGTCCTTAATTATTTATACATTTAAAAATTTTTAACTGTGCTGGGGATTGCACCTGGGACTTGATGCTTGCTAGGTAAGTGCTCTCCTACAGAGCTACAACCCCAACCCCTACTTAAACTTTTTGTTTTATAATGACAGAGTCTCACTATGTAGCCCAAACTGGCCTTGAACTCATGATCTTCCTGTCTCAGCCTCCTGAGTGCTGCAATTATAGCCATACACCATCATGCCTGGCACATTTAAAGAAAAAATTATTCAGAGATTTTGGGAGTAACTTTGACTTTGTTAATTCAATAAATGCTATGGAGTGTCTGCCAGGTGGTGTAATAAGCGTTACTTGGTACAGTTCCCAGCCTCGGGATTCATAAAGGTATAAATCCCTGATGTTTGGAGTGGGAGATCAGTATGCAGGTAGTAACAGTAGATCATGACAAGTGCTGTGCTGGGGCAGAGAACAGGATGGTGAGCATGTAGGAGAAGCCCCTACCCCAGTCTGTTTGTGCTGTCAGGAAAGGCCTCCCAGGAAAAAGTAACCCAAGTTAAGGCTTCAGGGGAGACAAGGAATTGGGGGTGGAGTACAGGGGTGTGGGATTGCTTCAAATAGGGAAGAAGCCTGTGTAAAAGTTAAAGATGAGAGAACATGGATCATTTGGGAAACTGCCCTGCTTCAGCTCAGCTGGAGGGTGCAGTGTGGGGGTTGGGAGCTGGCAGGGCAGGGAGGGATCCTGTTATGAGGAGTTTGAACTTTACTCTGAGTAGTTAAATTATTGATCCAGACAGCAGAGGGTTGTAAGCAGGGGAGTGATGTCAGCAGGGCAGGAATGGGAAGACAGGAGAGGAAGAGTCCCTGCTAGGAGGGGGTGAGAATGCCTGGCCTACAGGAGGGTCTGGTAATGAGGTGTTGCATCTGATAGGTTCCCCAGTCCTGGTTAGCAGTGTGAATGTGGCCAGAGAGATTTAGGCTGGAGCGCAACCAGGGTCTGTAGGTTTCAACAGGGCCTGTGAACCATCACATTCCCTTCCTGTCATTTGCTCTACTCCATCTGCCTTGGATTAAAATAAGACCTTGTGGAATTAAACTTGGCTTCATAGCTTGTAATTAAGATATAAATATTTCCATTTGCATTTTTAATTTTCTTTTCTTTTTTGCAGTGCTCTACCACTGAACTACATCCCCAAGTTCCTGTATTTTTAATTTTCTTACAGCAAATGGAAAGGTTTTGCAGTTCATTCATTCATTTACATAAGCCACCTAGACTTAAATTTAGAGAGGTTGGCCCAGGGCTTCATCAGGCAACAGAAACAATGTAGATCTAAGAGTCAGTGTGTTCTGCTCATGTTCTACCCTTTGCAATTACATTTCAGGACACCTCTTGTTCCTTTCTCAATTTTCCTTGTCTCCCAGATGGGACCGATACTGCCCTGATTTCTGTAGGTCTTATGAGACTCAGAAGCATAAAGAGTATCATGATTGGTAAGGTAATATACTAAACACTTGTATTTTGCATTAAGTAATGTGCTCACACCCCACAGCTGTGTAAGGTGATCACTACTAGACATCTGGAATCCCTCTGGTCTGGCACATGTACTTTTTTCCTGAAAATAAAAGATTTCAGATGTTGTTCTCATTAACTTCCCAGGCATTGAGTATGTTCCATGTCTTCCTCTGTTCTTAGGACCTGGCCATGCACTCATCGAACAGTGGAACCCTGTCGGCTTAGTTGGAATCATCACTGCATTCAACTTTCCAGTGGCGGTGTACGGCTGGAACAATGCCATTGCAATGATCTCTGGGAATGCCTGCCTCTGGTGAGAGCCACTCACTTTCCTATGCAGTAGTAAGAAGGTGATTAAAGTAGCTATTTTCATGGACTACTAAAAGTATTTTTGATATATTGAAATGTTTTCTGTACTTAATTGTTAGAAAATGATTTACAGTTTTATAACTTAATTGTTAAGTCACATGTGTTAGTTGTGAAGTGCTAATTTTAAACTACTATGTGTATTTTTGGATACAATTTTGTCCCTTTCTTCCTCATCTCCATTTCTACACCACTGTAATTCAGTTCTGATACTAACCACCCAGAGTTAATGTTAGGCTCCATAGGTTAAAGGCTCAGTCTTCCACAAAACTATCCCTACTTCGGATGCATTGATTATTTATTTATTTACTTACTTATTTAGGCAGTACTGAGAGTAGAACTCAGGGCTTTGAGGTTGCTAGACTGTGCTACCATTTGAGCTACTCTACCAGCTCTTTTCTTTCTTTCTTTTTTTTTTCTTGAGACAGGGTCTTGCTGTGTAGAGCAGGCTAGTCTGGAACTTAAGATCTTCCTACTTTGGCCTCCTGCATACTGGCTTTATAGGTATGAACTACTGTGTCCAGCCAGGAATATTGATCTTAAATGCTATCCTCAATAGAATATTCTCAAAGTCTATCTATAAAACAAAGCATAATTGTAAGGATTAATGGATTGGAATCACATTGCCAAAGAAACCCAGGCTTTCCAACATTTAAATCCAAATAGCCAATTGTGTGGCTGATAGATTTCCACTTCATTTGGTTCCCATAATGGCAGAGCTTAGTTCCTGTGATCCACGCAGAAGGCAGGCCCAGAGTTGCTTGGTGTCATTTTTATGTTACAAAGGTTTGGAATTCCTTAGGTTCCAGAGATACCACCTCAAGGGTTGATTTCTATTTCAGTTACTAGACTTAACTTGTCTAATTGGACACAGTTTTGTTTTGTTTCTTTTTTTTTCCTTGCTCAAAAACATGTTTGTGCTTGATAATGAAAGGTATTTTTGGTTTCCCTCAAGTTACATTTCTTTTTTCCTTTTTTTAAACCATCTCAAGGAAAGGAGCTCCAACGACTTCCCTCATTAGTGTAGCTGTCACTAAGTAAGTACATGTAGCTGCTTTTTCCTGGGTTTGGCATAATCTTGAAGGGTGACTGATAGGCCCTGGGTGTTTTTATCTGATGTCATATTTATTTAAGCATGGAATTTGAATAGCTTCTTTCTTATTGAGTTGTAATAACATTTTTATGTTGTTTTGCAGTTTGTACTGTTCTTTCAGAGCCATATCATCTAATTTATCTCTTTGGAAACTTGCCAGATATTGACATAAGTGTTGAACTCCAACTCTTCTTAACATTTTTTATCACTTGGAAAATAAAAACATCTACAGTGAAGAAGTAATATCCTGGCAGTTTAGAGGCTATATTTGATAACAGTTAAACAAGCAATGGTGTTGAGAATAGATTTCTATCCAGCTAATACTTTTATTGCTTTTATTTAATAGATTGCTAACAAAACAGAAAGACCTATTTAAAAGATATTGCACTTTTTGATTACAGGTATTTGTATTTTACTTATTCATATTTAAGAACTTGACAGCTGTCATAAAATCAGTGCTATGAATGTATCACTCTGGAATTTAGATAATATACAGATTGGGTGCTTTCCCATGGAGACCTCTGATGTAGCTTTGGTGTTCCAGTGGTTGCAGGTTGCAGGGTCTTCATTCTCTGATATAAACATTGTTTTTTTTTTTAAAAGCCTACAACACCTGGAATTCCTAGGTGGTCTCCCATCCAAGTAGTAACCAGGCCCGACCCTGCTTAGCTCCTGAGATCAGAAAAGATTAGGTGTGTTCAGGTGGTATGGCTGTAGGAACTTGTTACAGAGTCTGCAAGAGGGTGATAAATGTTAGGACATCTTTAGGAATAGTGGCTTAGGCTATGAAAAGTGGGATATAAGAGAGTGAGGATGGCATGTGTTAGCGTTTAATTGAAAGGACTATGTGGTATTGAGGAAATGATGTCTTATGAGGCAGGGGTGTTCAAATTAAACAGTGATGATGAGATTGCTCAGGCATTTTTAAAATGAAACTTTTTTTTTGTTTCCCATAAACAACATAACAGCCGATGTAGGCATAGTGAGCCAGCTTGCCAATTTTTATTAAGCTATGGTTAAAATATTGTTAGTTTTGGTACTAGTTTTGCTTTACACTCTCTGCCCCCCCCCTTCTTTAAACAGTTTTGAAGAGTTTGAAGTGTTCCTTTGGGGGTTTTAATGTATACTGCTTAATGTATGTGAAAATATGTGATTTTGTGATGAAGCAATAAGTATAACAATACCACATTTTGCAGGAATTAACCCAGGGGAGAGCAGCCCACTAGTGGCACTCATATGATGACTGTGGGCCACATGTGGTTTCCTTGTCCATCCGGGAGGATGGCCTCAAGCAGGCACTCCTTTTCAATTATTGTCCTCACAGCAGTAAGGCAGGCACTAGTCAGGTGTGGGGCTCACCCTGGCTTAAAAGCCTCATACTTTGCAAAAGCCCTCAAGTCTTTCATAGTAATTCTGTATGCACAGCTTTCAGATGCCACAAGGAACTTGCAGTTATAAGTGTCTGCATTCAGGGAGGGCCAAAGACCATGGTTCTCCCACTTTGGTTCACAGATCAGTATCATGGTCCAGATGTAATTGACTGGTCAGGGATAGTTTTGCCATAAGTCATGTTGTCTAATGACATTGTTTACAGTGTGGCACTTGTCAGGTAACCTGGAGGACAAAGCTAGAGTTTACCCCAGGTTAGATGCCCATTCTTCAGGGTTCAGTTAATGTTTACCCTCATGCACAAAGTAAAATACCTGTTTTTAAAGAGAGTGTGGTCTACTTGCAAGGACATTATTTATACCCAAAGTCCCCAGGATTGCACCGTCTGAGAACTGCTCTTAGAAGTGACACCTGCGATGTGGATCTTGGCTTGATTGGGTCCTGGTTTGGAGGGAAAAAGATAGCTACCCAAGACATTTTGGGGGCATTTGGGGAGGTTAATTGGTGTGAGGTTAGTGTCCTTTTTTTTTTTTTTTTATGGAAGTGGGAATGTCACTTTTTGAAAGTTAAATGAATTGGATGATTGATGAAAAAGGACATTTGCCTTGTTGGTCTGCTGGAAACTCAAAATGGAAGGCAGAATGCTGCTTCAGAAAAACCAGAACTACTTGAGCCATGTTTTTACACCTCAGGGTCAGAGTTAAATAGTATTTGACTGTAGTCTCACTTGAACTATAACAGCTTAAATCGGAGAACAAGCTTTGCTCCTCCTGAAGGCATTATCCTGGAGGGTGCTGGTACTTTCTGACTACAGTGGTTTTGTGCAAAGCCAGCAGACACTTGTTCTGAGCTGCTCCAGGGTTCTGCAAGGCTCTCTGTGGTATCTGATGGTGCCATTTCCAAACAAATGCCAGTAAACCAAGGGACTTGCCCATGCTTAAGCATGCACTTTGCTACTGAGCTACACTCCCAGCCTCCCATCTGCCATTTTGAGCCAGATGTGTCTTCATACTTTGTCAGAAAATACTTGAAATTTGACCTACCTCAACAATGCTTTCTGTCATCTATTCATGTTCTATACATTTTTTCCTTCATAAGAGTCTTTTAGGAAAAACTAAATAGTTCTGCCTATTAATGTTTGACCTTCTCTCTAATATGTGAGGAGAAATCCAGGCCTCAATGTTTGGAGAGATGGTTGAAAAAGAAGACTTAGGTAGCTGGAATTTCTTTTTAAAATGTCTTCAGAAAATAAGTTACTGTCTTAGTAATGAATGGCCATTTCCTTTTCTAGGATAGTAGCCAGGGTGCTGGAAGATAATAAGCTGCCTGGCGCAATTTGTTCCTTGACCTGTGGTGGAGCAGATATTGGGTAGGTGGAGAGGTGAGAGCAGTCTCTCTGCTGAAGGAGCCTGGGCTGACCAGCAGGAACCATCTTCCCCAAAGGAGCAGAGTCCATACAGCTAGGGCTGTGAGAACAGCCTTGTGGAGTTGTATTATAAGCCTCATTGAATTTTACTTCATTAGTATATAACCTGTGTTGGAGGATGAGTAATATTTGTCTTTTTACCCAGAGCTACTGTTTGTAAGGTGTTCATTATTCTTTTTTTGGTGGTGTTGGGGATTGAACCCAGGGCCTTGTTTATACTACACATGTATTCTACTCAGAACTTCACCCCATTCCCTATTTAGTAGATTTTAGAATATGTACTGTTGTGCAACCATCACAACTATCTTATTCCAGAATGTTACACCAGAAAGAAGCCTTGTGCCCTTAACAGTCATTTTCCATCGTCTGGGTGCCTGGATTTCTGTCTCTATGAATTTGCCTACTTGGGATATTTCATTTAAATAGAACCATACAATAACTGGCCTTTTGTGCCTTGCTTCTTTTATAGTGCATAATGTCATAGCCTCTTTAAGTGGGAACTGGCTAAAATTGATCTGAGCCTTGATGAAAATTGTTTTTAGCAGCTTAGACTTTGACTCGGTGAGGTTTCCTAGGAGTCAAGTCTTGTAACCATGCTACAATTGCTAAAAAGTTAGTTTGTCTCCATCAGTTTTGCCATACTACCATAATAACTGGGCAGTCTCAAAAAAGACAGTTGGCTACTCCTTGTTCATATAGATGAGAACGCACTAGAAGCTACAGCTCCTACTTCTATAGCACATAGTGATATATTATCTAAATGTCTCTGAAACATGGGCATTGTATTCTTTGACCTACTCTATTCTGGCACTCTCGGCATCCAGTCCTTCATGGTGACCTTGGAATTGCTTGGTAGTCTATATGGGAATGTATTAAGCAATAGCTACCTAGTGTATCAGTGTTCGCATTTGTGGGTTGAACCTGGGAAAATCTGTCTGAGTAATTTAATTAAGCTGTCCAGCCTGCAGTGGACTGATGCTGTGACTACCCTGCTTGGCTCATATTGAACCTTTCAAAGCCTTTAACTATGAACACAGAGATTCAAATCAATAGTGTCTGATCTACATTCCTCAGAAGCAACCAGAAAACCTAGCAAAGCTTCATAAGTCATCTACTTTAGTGATACTGTAAACTGTTTCTCTATAGCTATCTACATTTTTAGTTCTTAAAGGAATTATAGATTATGAGTCTTAAAAACAATGGAGTACTCAGCAAGGAAATCAGTCCTAGGATTGTGTTGTCCAGTCAGCCACTCAGTACAGGAAGGACTTTCTTACTGCACTAACAGCATATAAGTTGGTCTGTTTCCCTTTTGGTTCTCCTTGTGAAGAATTTACTCCATTTTCATGAACACCTTTCCTCATGCCCCTGGGACAGACTTCTGAATAACCTTGACTGACTATCTTGCCAAGAGCATGTGCTTTCTTGCTGGTGCCTTTGGGTGCTGCTATTGCTGGTGTCTCTTCTGGAATAACCTTATCTGTTCCCCTACAGCACAGCGATGGCCAAAGATGAGCGAGTGAATCTGCTGTCCTTCACTGGGAGCACTCAGGTGGGAAAACAAGTGGCCCTTATGGTGCAGGAGAGGTTTGGTAAGTATTGGCTTCGTGGTGAAGATTTTGCTGTCTCAGAAGTGTGGATATGAGCTCTAAACATTGGATTTTTTTCTCTTGATCCTTTCCATGGAAATACTGGCCATGTTTATTTCAATGTCCAAATAAAAGGAAAAGGGTGTACTTAATAGCAGTTGAATATTAGGGAGTTCCAGAGTTCAATAGGAAAATGATACCATTTTCTATTCAGTAGAGAATATAGAATCATAAAAAATACTTTAAAAATTCTACCAGACTTGTTCTGTAGATTTAAAAAAAAAAAAGAAAAATCACAATTTAAACAAAACCAAGGAATATCAGACCTAGAGTGTGAAACATTCACCTACACTCTTCTCTTTTTATTTTCACATGTATGCGATTTGAAAGGCTTGTATAGATCACTTCACGTGCTTTACTTTACAGCCAATTTATGAGGTTTTTAAGAATAATACTGACCAACATTTGACCCTTATGCTGAATTTAGATTCTAACCCCAGTATAAGATGAGACTGGATTAGTTAATCTGCCAGCCGTTGTACTGGATAGGTGTTACCTTTCAGCAAGTTTACCAAAAACTGTTAGAGGCAATAATAAGACCAGCAAGGATGCAGGGTACAAGATCAAAATAAAAATGTAGAAATCAATTTTATTTTTCTACATTAACATGAATGACCTGAAAAACAAGTTTAGAAAACAATTCCATTTATGATAGCATCAAAAAGAAAAAAATACTCAGAAATAAACCTAGCAAGAGTCTAAGTCTTTTGTGCTGAAGGCCTCAAAGCATCAATGGAAGACATGAAATAAAAAAACGCAACTTTCTTGACTGACAGAAAAATAAATAAATAAAGGTCTAAGTGGGAAGCTATCCCATTTTCATTTTTCAGAATATTTAGTACTATAAGAGCCCAGTTCTTCCCATGTGAGCTGTAGGTTCAGTACAGTTGCTATCACAATCCCAGCTGCTTGTTTTGTAGCAATTGGGAAACCAATTCTAAAACTCACAAGAGAATACAAAAGAGCCCAAATAGCCAAAACGTCTTGAACAAGATGAATAAACTTGGAGAACTTTTACTTCCTGACTTCAAAACTGACTCAGAATTTCAGTAATCAATATTGGTAGCAGCATAAAGGTCAATGGGACAGAATTGAGAATCCAGAAACAAAACCTATACATTGCTTGCCAATTGTTTTGGTGATATGGATGCTAAACCTATTTCAGTGGGGCAAAGAATAGTCTCTTTCAACAAATGGTGCTGAGAGTAGATATCCACATGCTTTTGTGAGGGTTGGGCCCGTTTCACTCCATACACAGAAACTAAAAAATGTGTCAGAGACCTAAACTCTTGGAAGAAAACATAGGAATAAGTCTTTGTGACCTTAGGTTGGGCAGTAGTTTCTTAGAAACACTAAGGCACAAGGAACAGCAACCAAAATAGGTAAATTAGATTTTATCAAAAAAAAAAAAAAAGAGCCCCCAGACCAAGAATACCAGGAAAAAAGTGAAAAGAACAGCTGTCTCAGCCTTTTCATCGAGGTGACAAATACCTGTAGAAAGCACGGAAGGAGGAAGGATTTATTTTGGCTCATGGTTTCAGAGGTTTCAGTCCATGTCTGCCTGGCTGCATTGCTTTTAGGCCTGTGGTGAGACAGAAAGGGCATGATGGAAGAAAGCTGTTGACCTGTAGCAACCAGGAAGCAACAGGAGTAACAGGAAGGGGACAGGGCCAAGGTATACCCTTCAAGTCATGTCCCCAGTGATCCAACTTGGCCTCACCTTCCACAGTTCCACCAGCTCCAATAACCTATTCAGACTTTGAATTTGTCAGTGGGTTAATCTGTTAATTAGGCCAGAGACCTCATGATCCAGTTACTTCCCCAAAGCCTTGTCTCTAGACACTGTTGCATTGGAAACCTTGCCTTCAACACATGAGATTTTTGGGGAGACACTTCATAGTCAAACCATAACAACAACCCATAGACTGGCAAGAAATATTTGTAAATTATACATCTGATAAGGAACTTGTGTCTAGAATATATAAAGTATTTTCAAACTCAAAGGTATCAAAAGCAAGTAATGCAATTTAAAATGGGTAAGAGTTGGGCATGGTGGCTTAAGCCTGTAATCCTAGCTACTTGGGTAGTTGAGATATGAGGATTATGGTTTAGAAGCCATTTGGGAGTTGATGAGACCCCATCTCAACTGAAAAAAATCTGGGAGTGGTGGTATGTAACTGTCTTTGATTGTATGTAACTATGGGAAGTGAAGAAAAGCTTAAAATAGGAGGATCTTGATCCAGGCTGGCCTGGGCAAAAAGTGAGACCCTGTCTTCAAAATAACCTGAGCAAAGAGGGTAGAGGCGTGACTCAAGTGGTAGAGAGCCTGGAAAAAAAACAAAAAGGCAACAGATTTGAATATCAAATGGCCAATAAACACACGACCCCATCAGTGTCAACTGATCACACGTATTTGCCTCCTCCTCTCTCAAAGTAGTAGTTTGTTGTTCTTGCCTTGGTAGCATTAGTAGGATTACAGTTTTTTAAAATGTATCTGGCTATCTTAAGTTATAGGTGCTTTTAAGAACTTTTTTATTTTGGTGATGCTGGGCCTTGTATTTGCTAAACAGATGCTCTACCACTTTAAGTCTTTTTCTTTTCCGTATAGGGTTTGAACTCAGGGAATTGTGCTTGCTATGCAGGTGCTCTTCCATTTCAGCCATGTCCCCAATCCTTTCCAACCCTTTTTACTTTAGTTGTTTTCCAGATAGGGTCTCATGCACTACTCAGAGCTGGCCTCGGACGGTGATCTTCCTACCTATGCTGCCTATGCCTCCCACATAGCTATAATTACAAGTGTGTGTCATCTAGGTGCTTTTTTTGGGATGGGATTGGTAGTTAGGAGTGTGGTTAGAGAACAAATGATAGAGGGTTGGATGGACACAGAAATTTCTGCCAAATTTCACTTGCAGTCAGGCAGGAAAAGCAGATGTCTTCTGTTTTGGTAGAATCTTCTATTTCCCTCCTTTTCCTTATAGCACCTATTGTAGCACTGGGCTGTAGCCAGTAAGCTTCCAAGCAGCGACTGCAGCAGAGGCTAGCGCTCATGTAGCACTTGGGCCCCTGGCGACAGCAGCTGCATGCTTCCCAGTTAATGTCCTCTGGCTGCTGAGCCATGGAGCAAGAGCACTCTGCTGTCACGCACACTTCTGATACCAAAACAGAGAAAAGGTACTTTCAAGTGCATTGAGGGAGACATGTTCAGAAGATCAGCAGGGAATGTCTGCTTGTGAAATGCAGGCAAACAAATCTGAAGTGTGTGTTGGGGAGAGTACGGTGAGATGCTGCGTGAGTCCTCTGGAGTGTGTATGCAGGAGCCCTGACCTCAGCAGGTGAGAAGTCGGTGCTAACAGCAAGTACATTCCACACTAGCTAAGTAGCTACGGAAAATTTGATATGTCATCGTGATGGAATACTATGGAGTGACCTCTTTCTCCCCCAGTTGCTGGGGATCATATGCCGGAATTTGAGCTACACCCCCAGTCCTGAACTTTTTTCATCTTGTAAAGAAAGAAAAAGAAAACAAGAAAAGAAAAAAATTAAATGCTAATTCTGCCTCTCCCCCAGCAACTACTTGCTGAACCTGTTCTTTTTACTACTTTAGCTGCTGCTTCATCTGAGTGGAATCATACAGTCTTTGTGCTTTTTGTAATTGGTTTATTCTGTGTAGCATGATGTCTTGGAGGTTCATCCATGCTGTACTATGTAATGGGATTTCCTTCTTTGTTAAGGCTGCATAATATTCCATTTGTGTGTGTGTGTGTGTGTGTGTGTGTGTGTGTATAGATTTTTTAAATCCATGTATCAGTCGATGGATACTTGGGTTGCTTCCTCCTTTAAACTTTTATGAATAAAACTACTAACAGTATTTCTCTACCTTTGGTTGCATACCCTGAAGTGGAATTGCTAAGATTATATGGTAGGAATTACCATAAATGTTTAATTTTGGGGCGAAATTATACTGGTTTCCACAGTAGCTGACTCATTTTACTTTTTTTCTTTACATAATTCCAAACTTAAAAGTTACAATGCTAACATAAGGAATTCTTCATGCCCTGTAACCAGATTCACTAACTGCTTGCATTTTGCCTCATTCGCTTTATTATTTTCTCTTTCCAGCAACATAATGTTCAGAGGCACATGCATATATGTGTGCGCACACACAGAGTTTACACATATGCTTGTTGAATTGTGTAGAGTAAATTGAAGACATTATATCCTTTCATCACTAAATATTTCAAAGTGAATTTCCTAAGCACACATTCTCTCATATGACCATGGTACAGTGACCAAAATCAGGATATTTGACATTGATATAATAGTCATGTTACCTTATAAATTGGAAAATAATTTTTTTAAAAAGTTGGGATAAGTTGAGACCACAGAGCAGTGTGAAGCAAATACTGATGTAAGGATTAATTTGTCTTTGTGTTTTTTAGGGAAAAGTTTGTTAGAACTTGGAGGAAACAACGCCATTATTGGTAAGGCTGCCTCTTTTGCTTTTTGTTTTCAGTTCAGTGTATCCTCCTTAGCCACCTTAAACATGGGACTTATTTAGTAACTCATCTTTTCTTTGTTGTGAGTGCCTGGGACCTCATTCCCCTGTTAGGAATTTTCCTTATGAGACGGGATGGAAGCTTGGGTTAATAGCAGAGATAACCAAGAAGGAAATGTATTCACGTTTGGGAGGTGTTACCTGGGCTAAGAACCTGTGCACGAGGCTTTGAGATTGTCTTGAGTGTGGCATTGCTTCTTCGTGTTTTCCCTAACCTTGTTTTCTGAAAACTGGCTCCATGGTTCTCTAGAGTAACTTAGTACTTAGGTAAGTATGACTCCTTTAGATTTCAGAAACATTCGTTGATCTTTAGTGGAATATTGGGGCTTTTACCTTGGGAAGGAACACTTCCTTAAGGCGTTTTTGTCTACTTATGTAACCAGCAAGCTTGGGAATTTCTTAAAGCTTTTTTGATTGCTTGAGTTTGGCACAAAGGAATATCTATCAGCTTTACTTCTGCCTAATGTAATGGAAATCAGTAGGTTGAGACTAATGGAAGTGTAACTTTCATGGTACAAACCTAAAGTTTCTAATTTCTATCTTGTTATTATCATGTCAAAATGCATATATATGTGCGGTGGACAGGAGAGATTTAAAAAGTACATGGTAAAGGGCTTGTTCCAGATGAGCGTCTAATCTAGGTAAGAGCATCTGCCTGGCAAGTGCGAAGCCCTGAGTTCAATACCCAGAATCTCCCCCTCCTACCTACCCCCTCCCCCAAAAAAAGTATAGTTAGCATTTAGCAAGTACTGGGTATCTGCTGGGTTCTGTGCTCAGCTGTTTTGTATACATTGTTTCATTTAATTCCCACCACAATCACATGAAGTGGATATTATTATTACTATTATTCATCTCATTCCAAGGTTATACTCAGACTTGAATCAGACTGTGCTGAAAGGACAGACTAGCAAGTGACAGAAGCTGACAGCTGTGTTCTGCAATCAGATCTCAGAGCACTGTCCTTTCCTTAACTCCTTGCTTCCACCCATTATTACCCCAGGTATCATTACCTCATTTTACAGATGAGGAAACTGAGGTTAAAAAAGTTGAAATAATGCAACAAAAAAGGGGTGGAGATGCATAAAAACTGTGCACTAGTGTGAGAGCACTGTTAAATTGGAGGGGGATAATGAGGACTTGAGGGAACTGGCTGTAAGCTTCTAGAAGGTATAAGAAGAAAGGAACTACTAGGAATATAAATGGAAGAATTAACTGAAAAGATTGTACTATTTTTTTGTTGTTGTTCTGAGGGCTGAAGAGGAGGGAGGAATAGATAAAAGTAGTGGTAGAGGAATTGGGAAGTGACTTTGCATTGATTTCTTCAGTGGAACAGAGGAAACTCAAGAGGGCTTGATTTTTCCATGACATAGAGGGTCAGGTCACCTGGTGCAGTAGCAGAAGGCAGAGGTATCTCAACAATTTGGAAATGGTTCTGTGGGGTGGTGACAGGGAATTGTCTGATGTGTGTCAGGTGTTGCCAAGAGCGTGGTTTTCCACGAGGTGGAAGTCAGAAGGTTACATTGACCTCTTTAGTTGTCTGTGGCTTGGGAACTGCATCCAGGCAGCCACCAGATTGAGATTGGAGGATGGTCTTAGAGAAGTGCCTATAGTCAGGATCCAGAGGAGGCTCATCAGGGTCAGAAACTGAGAGAGATGAAAGAGGAAGAGCTGAGCACAAGAGCTTCAGTTTACCTTCATGCTTGGGTAGAGGTCTTGGAGCTCACAGCTCTCTGGTCATGCAGTCTTCCCTAGTGAGCATCCGAGTCTCTGCCATGTCAGCGTGCTTGCGTTGCTGATGGCTTTGATGTTCCCAGTTAGCAGATGCCTTGCCTTGCTGCACTCATGAGTATGTCTGTGCTTCTCTCAGCTTTTGCAGATGCGGACCTCAGCTTAGTTGTTCCGTCAGCGCTCTTTGCTGCCGTAGGGACAGCTGGCCAGAGGTGCACCACTGTGAGGCGACTGGTGAGTATGTCTGGGCACATGAGAGTGTCCTGCTTTTCAAACACCACAATTTAATGACATTTGTTGGGCTGGTGTCCTAGAAGCACTGCTAGAGAAATGTATTCCTTAGACACGGTCTGCAAATATGCGGCCCCAGTGCTCTCTCTCCTGCACTGGAGTTAGTGATGATCAACCAGGGCCCAGGCTTTGCCCCACCCTGAGCTAGCAGTGGCCCTGCTACCAGCTGATTGGAGCCAGAGCTGAGACCTGTTTTCAGTCATACTCCTAGAACAACTGGACAAAGCCCAGTGTTATTTAGAGAATAAGACGAATTAAAAATCTAAAAATCCTAAGCCTGGTAGCTAAAAGATGACCTCGCTTTTTCACAAAGACATCTTCAAGATCTTAACATTTGGTGTCAGGTCTTAGCTTTGACTTGATGGGATGTGGTTTACTGCAAAGCAAATGACTATGTTTGTGTTCTCTCTACATCAATACAAGGTCTGCACACACAGAACAGAAAAGTGTGTTTAAGGAGGTTTGGGTTAGCTTCAGTGTCGGCTTTGGGAAATTTGTGCAAGGAGATTGAGGTGGATTTCAGTTTAGTGTAAGATACAACTTTGATTTTTCGTGACTCTCACGGTACTGAAAAACTATACTAGAACTAAGCGAATTTTGGCTAGATACAAAATTTGGCTACATTTGCTTTTTTTTATTGTTGAGTTTTCCATTTGTAATTTTTAAAAATGTGCAGTTGAATTACAGAGAGTTAGATTTGGTCTTTTGCTCTCATTTACAGTGAGTATAACGTATTCTGAATAAGATCAACATCTAATTAGAGAAAAAGATGTATGAAAACGCAGTCTCTACCTTCTCATAGTTTTCATATTTATTTTTGTTGCATTTTACAAATGAAAGTCAATCTTTCTTTCCTTTTTCCTTTGCGGTACTGGGGATTGAGGTCAGAGTCTTGAACTTGCTAGGCAAGTGCTCTAGCTCTATCACTTAAGCCAGGTACCAATTCCTTTTTGCTTTAGTTGATGTTAAGATAGGGTCTTGCTTTAGGGGACTGGGCCAGCTTGGACTTATTTGTGCTTTCTGTGTAGCTGGGAAGATAGGTGTGTACCACTGTGCTCTGCCATTGATTGTGGTGGGGGGGGTCTCACAAACTTTTTTGCCTAGGCTGGCCTTGAACTATGATCCTCTCTCCTGACCTCTACCTCCTGAGTAGCTGGGATTATAGGCTTGAGACACCATGACCTGCTGATCTTTTCCTTATTCAATTGAAGTTCTCAAAAATATCTAAGCTATTCATAGTGTTTATAATTTATTATTTTTTTGCCATGAACATTAGATTATATTAAACATTATATTCAAGCTAAGAAACAAGGGCACTACAAATAGACTCTTCATTACAATGGTTAAAATATGAAATGACATGAAAGTGAAACATTCTTGTTTCAGCTCACTTTCATTTTTTCTTTTTGTCTTGGAGCAAGTATATATAGCAAACCATGCCTTTTATTTAGTTTTCAATATTAAAGAATACTGTCAGTCATTGCTCAAATTGATTTCCATAGTGACAGTTGTGATAAATAGAAAAATAATTACAGTCTCCTGGCCTCTCAATGATCAGTTCTTAGAGTGACACTTCATTCGTCACAGGGAGACTAACCAGAAAATGGATGGTTTGGCCCCAGCTCATAGAAACCTAACGAGTCACATCTCGCCTAGAGCAAGTGCTTGGTGATCCTTGCCTGGCTGAGGTCTCACATTGGAGGCCTGCGTAGTCTGAGGCCAAGTCCTCTTGCTGACTCAGCAGAGGGTGGCTTGGCTCACCTGTTGTGCTCTTTGTTCACTGAGAGGGTCTCAGTATGGGACAGGTGTATCTGAGTCTAACTGAGATGTTAAATTCTCTAGAAAAACAAGAATGGTGAATTTGTGAAGTTTAATGGTAAGTCCTTAGAAACTCAAAGACATAGTTTCTGATTTTATTTTAACATCTTCCTAGAGGAAATGACTATATTCATATAGTTAATATTAAACTTAGAAATGAAATGATTAAAAACAACATGCTTTTTGGTTTTCACAGATTATAGCGTTTCAATATCTATTAATAACTATTAATAAAGACTAGTGACAAAATTATTTATTTTAAAAACTTGTACATTTATTTTGCTATTCCCTGGAATGTTTCTCTTTTCCCTTAGTTTTTACATGAAAGCATCCATGATGAAGTTGTAAATAGACTTAAAAAGGCCTATGCACAGATCCGTGTCGGAAACCCATGGGACTGTGAGTATCTGGTTGTTTGTGAAGCTGGTGTTATAGGTATTTCTGACCTTTTAAGTTTTTGGGAGTTTTTTTCCCCCTTTTTGGAGAGGCCTGGGAGCCCAGGAAGCAGGGGAATAGGCCTTTGGGTGGTATGTGTGCTCCTTGGTTAGGACCTGGTGCTTAGTGAGCTGGTGGGTGAGATTTGGAGATGCTGTTTAGGTAGGGTGGCACTTGACGAGCTTTTGTCTGTTCACCACTGTTACCATTGTCCAAGCCACCACCATTCTCTCACAGAAGGTGCAAGAGTCCCCCATCTGACTCTCCTGCCCTATAAACAGAGTGAGTTTTTAAAAACGTAATCAAATAATTCACCCTTCTGCCAGGAACACGGTGGCTGTGCATTATGCCAGGACTAACACCTGCATCCTTCATGATCTAACCCGTCTCTCACTCAGCCTGCCTCCCCACTAGACCTGTGTCCTCTTGGCCTCTGGCTCTCTGAGCTCCAGTCTGTCCTGCTTTCTGTCATGCTTCAAGCATTCCTGGATGTTCGCTGCTGTTCCCTTGCCTGGGAGTGCCTTCCACTTAGCTCTCACCACGGCTGGCTCTGCTAAAATGCCCACTTCACAGGGGCCTCCCTAAATCTACCTTCCTTCTTCCTTCTTTCTCTGTCCCTGTGGTTACTTTACGCTCTATTTCCACAGCCATGACATCCAGTGTGTCACCGTAGAAGTGCACACCAGCTACGGAATGATGCTCCTGGAGAATGGACCACTGTAACGAATCAGCTGGTTCTGTACTTTTAGTGCAGTGCTCCGGTTGCTGGCCATTCCTCTGAAGCAGGAGTTGGCAAGCAGATTTGGCCCACCATCTGTTTGTCCGCTGCACAGCCACTTCCATTCATTTGCATAGTGTCTGTGGTGGCTTTCACAGTACAAAGACAAGGTGGAATAGTTGTGATAGAGACCACATGTGTGACGCACAGCATAACATTTTTACCATCTGGTCCTTTATAGAAAAGTTTCTGAGTCTTGTTCTCAATGGAGAGGATACAGGAAGGGCTCAACACTGTTGTGATAGAGTGATGCTACTTAGGGCAAGAAAAAGAACATCCCTTTTCTCTCCCCAGCTGATGTTCTCTACGGACCACTCCACACCAAGCAGGCAGTGAACATGTTTCTTGGCGCTGTGGAAGAAGCAAAGAAAGAAGGAGGCACAGTGGTCTACGGGGGCAAGGTAAGGAGACCCCCGGGCTCAGCTGTGGTGGTTCTTTTACCTTTTTCCCTTTAGCACAGAGTGCTCTGAGAAAATTGGACATCCTTTATCTCCCCATCCTTTTTCCAGGAGAGAAAATATTTTAAAGAATGATGACACAAAGTGCTTGTAACATTTCTGGGAGGACACACAAGACACTCTGAGTCATGGTTGCCTTTGAGTTGGGTTCCTAAGGCTTTGTATGGCAAGGAGATCTTGTCATGGCCCTACAGAAGACTTTGTATTCAGAGCTACTCAAATCTGTGTTTGTTGGTTATCGTAGACAATAAAGTAATCACAAAAATATATCGCATTTTATTTTAGCTTAACACATAGACCTGTATTTGTTTGCAGTTCTTTTGGTGTTCAGTCAGGATGTTTTCTTCATGGATTGTAGAATTGGTTGTCTTCATCTGTGCAAAAGCTACACCTGTTGTTTATTTTCTGTACAATTCAGTTTAATTTAAAATTCATGGAGAGCTGAGTCTTGCAAAGCAATCCGACTGCAGGTTCTTTCTGACTCTCTCTCCAGTCTTGGAGACACATTCCACATCTATTTGCGTAGGTATGCTTGTGTATTTTTTTCCACATATTGAGTTTTCTCTAAAGCATTCAACCTAATCTTTATAGAAATAGCCTTTTTCTTTTGTGTGATACTTAAATTACAGAATGTAGTATCCTATTACAATAACAAATATAGGTGCCTTGCATGATTAAGAGTGAATACATTCACATTTGGTAAACATACAGCATGGAGGGCAAGAACAGAATTTCAGAGGCTCATTGGAAGGTGGACCATGGCCAGAGCTGCTTCCGGTGAACATCAGTATGTAACAGAAGTGACTAGGGCAGTCACTAGCTATGTGAAGATGAGCGGGGGATCTGGTTGCATGGAGGTTGGTGATGAGAGTCTGTAATATACCCTTACGGGGTTTTCAGTTTTGCTAGGACTTCCACAACAAAATGCCACAGGCTGGGAAGCTTAAACAGCGAAAGGTATTTTCTCTTAGTTCTGAAGGCTTAAAATCCAAGATCCAGGTGTTGACAGGGTTAGTTTCTGATGAATCTGGCTCATTGTGTCCTCATGTGACCTTTCCCAGACAGGGGAGAGAAATCTCCAGCATCCCTTCCTCTCCTAATAAGGACACTCACCCTATCGGATCAAGGCCTATGTTGATGACTTCACTTATTATGACTAATAACCTCCTTGAAGGTCCTATCTCCACTCCACATGAGGAGCATTTGGGCTCATGTGGAGCTTTCAACATGTGAATTTGGCGTGGGGCATGATTCAGTCCATAACATAATAGTATAGATTATCTGTTTTAAAATTAATTTAAAAGTAATCACTAGCAACAGTTTGTTTTGATATAACTCATTGTGATACATGGTGTGCCTCTCTTCCCCAAACTCCTCCTTTTCACTATTTTTTTCTGATCAAGTAAGTTAGGACCAGTAGGAGAAAGAGATGATTTTTCATTCAAAATAGAATGTTGCCTCTTTGGAAAAATAATTCACCTGTAAATTTTTTTTTTTTTTTTCCTCATAAATGTAGACAAAGATGGTGTCTTCTGACCCCAAGTACTAGAAAACAAGATGCTTTCAATCACTTCATTTCATTTCTTAAGGTTATGGATCGCCCAGGAAATTACGTGGAACCCACAATTGTGACAGGTCTCGCCCATGACTCATCCATTGTGCACACAGAGACTTTTGCTCCGATTCTCTATGTCTTAAAATTCAAGGTAAACATGGATTCTGTTTCTCTAGTCTGAAGTTGAATAAGTGATACTAGGGGAAAATGAAGTGTATTAAATTTTTCTTGATTAGACTTTAGAAGATTTTTATTATTATTATTATTATATTATTATTTATTATTTATTTTTTTGGTGGTACTGGGGGGTTGAACCCAGGGCCCCACACTTGCTAGGCAGGTGCTCTACCACTTGAGCCCAGGAAGATTTAAAAAAGTCACTCTGAACAGGAGAAATTTGAAGGCTCAGGATAAAATTTGACATGAACACTTTAAAACTATAACATATGCCGAACTAGGTGCCAAAGTAGCTGAGACCGGTAGTGGACTAATAGAGTTCATGGAGAGTGTGGCCCTCATCTGTTGTGTCACCTTAGTCTGAGCTGTGCGGGCCTCACGTGACCTTTCCCAGGGAGGGGACAGAGAGCACCACCTCTTTTTGGTGGTACTAGGGTTTGAACTCAGGGCCCCACACTTGCTAGGCAGGTGCTCTACCACTTGAGCAATGTCCATGGCCCAAGGCAGCACCTCTTGACACAGGGACAGCACAGTTTGATAGCCTGAGGGTCCCATTCTTGTTAGCAGGCAAAATGGGAAGATGTGGGGGCACTCTAAAGACACACAGTTACAATCTGCAACAGGGGCCAGGCTGTGGAGGGTTTGTTTCATTTTGTTTCTTGGAACCAGAGTTTGAACTCAGGCCTTGCGCTTGCTAGGCAGGTGCTCTACACATGAGCCACATCCCCCAGCCCTAATTTGCTTTAGATATTTTTCAGGTAGGGTTTTGTGCTTCTGCCTGGGTCAGCCTTAGACTGTGAGCCTCCTACCTTTGCCTCCGTTAGCTGGGGACCACAGGCATGCACCACCACATCCAGCTTATCTGTTTAGATGGCATCTCTCTAACTTTTTGCTCTGACTGGCCTCATAATGCAGTCCTCCCAATCGCCACCTCCCAAGTAGTTGGGATTATTGGTGTGCACCACCACCAAGGAGGTTTTAACAAATGGAGATAATTCCCTAAACTGACACAGTTCCTAGCCTTGCCAGCAAATATTTAGAATTAGTTTTGAGGTGGCACAGACTGAATCCAGGTTGATGTGCCATTATTCGCAGGTAAAGGATCATGAGGCTTGCACCATGTTGCAATTATCTGACTGCATTTATTTATATCTTGCTTTACGTTGTCCATTTCTGCTTCACATATGGTCATTAGAGAGAATAATTTGTTTTGAGATGTGTGTGTTGGATTCTGGGCTCTTTTTGGCAGTGCTAGGGGTTGGACTCAGGGTCTCATGTTTGTAGGCAGGTGTTCTACCACTTGAGCTGCTCCACCAGCTCACTTTAGGTTATTAAAAGATATTGCTTTCTGCCTCAGCTGGCCTGAATTACAATTCTCCTGTGTGTGCTTCCCCACATAGCTCGATGACAGGTGCATGCCCAGCTTTTGGTCAAGATGGGGTCTCACAAGGTTTTTGCCTGGGCTAGCCTTGAACCACAGTGCATCCCAAGGCTTGAGCCTCTGTGCCTGCCTGATTATGAGGTTTTTTGAACAAAACTCATACTTACCTTGTCTGTGCTTCAGTTGGTGAATCTGGAAATTGGTGGCCAATGCATAAAAGTTGTGCCACAGAGCGAGGATTAAATAGCTGAATGCATGTTAAGGGCATAGACCACTGTGTAGTGTATGATAAGAACTCAGAAAATGTTAGCTGTCGTATGTAGTCGCTTGAATGGAGAATGTACTAGACTTTGCTTCTTAAACTGTAATTAAGACAGAGCCCCCAAAGGTGTTACTTATTAAAAATGGCCCGAATCATTGTTTCCCATTTGTTCACTAAAGTGGTATCGTACTAAAATTTCCTCTCATGAAGTGAGTTTCACGTCAGGGAACTTGAGCTGAGCGCTGGAACATCTCACAGCTTCTGATGTCTGTCCCTGTAGAATGAAGAAGAGGTCTTTGCGTGGAATAATGAAGTGAAGCAGGGACTTTCAAGTAGCATCTTTACCAAGGATTTGGGCCGAATATTCCGCTGGCTTGGGTATACTTTGTCTCTTTTGAATGTTTATATAAAATTGATTTGTTTGGTGAGTGGACTTTTGAACAAGGGAATTGCTTTTTAACCTTGAGAGTCTTGCATATGGCTTTTGTCTGTCCTGTTTTTCATATTCTACATGTGTTCTCACCACATCTCTACTTTTGCACAGACCTAAAGGTTCAGACTGTGGCATCGTCAATGTCAACATTCCAACCAGCGGGGCCGAGATTGGAGGTGCTTTTGGTATGTTAGTCATTTCTCGTTTTCCACATTGGGCAGCAAAGGAAGAGCACAGAAAAGTGTGGTGAAGCCGGGCACTGGCGACTCTCCTGTAATCCTAGCTACTTAGGAGGCAGAGATCAGGAGGATCGCAGTTCGAAGCCAACCAAATATTTCTCAAGACCCTATCTTGAAAAAACCCTTCACAAAAATAGGGCTGGTGGAGTGACTCAAGGTGTAGGCACTGAGTTCAAGCCTTGGTACAGAAAAAAATAAAAGAGAAAAGTGCAGTGAAGAAATGGAAGCAGGTGTACGTTGTGAGAGAAGCTTCTGAGGAACGTGTGTTCCGTTTTGAAGTTATTGCCAGAGTCCTGTGTCTTCTGCTCAGGGATAGCTCAGGTTAGGGCAGGCCCTTAACCCAGGATATGTGAACCTCTGAAATGTGGCATCTGTTTTCTAGGCAGGAGACCCAAGGCCCCAAAACAATGAGGCTTCCTTCAAAGCTAGAATACTTCACTTAAAATATTGTGATGTTTATTTGCAGAGTGGGCAAAATAAATATTAAACATATCCTTTTTTTTTTTAATCTATTATTTTAAGATAATAATAGATTTTAATAATAGGTTTTAAACTCCAGACTGGCTTCAAAGTCATGATCTTCCTGCTGTAGTTCTCTTGAGTGCTGGGATTACAGATGTGTACCACCATGCCTGGCATCGTACTGTCTTTCTCTAGATGAAATACTAAGTTGCTGGGTTTTTTTTTTATTTGATCCTGCTCTTCTTTTCTTTTAATAAGCAATAAGTTACTAATGCTTAAACTTGGTAATAGTTATTTTTTAAAAAGAACCCTTCCCTGCAAGTATATATTAAGTTTTACTTATTAAAAATTATCCAAAGTATTATAAAAAGATTGCTTTGTTTTTTAATATAGAAGCAAAACAAACATGCTTTAATGCCTGTTACAGTTAATGTAATAAGTGGTATCCTTTAATTAGACCAAGCACTATGATTACCATTCAGTGTGCGGACTTGGCAAAGGCCCTTTTTCATTCTGGCCCCACCTCTGCTGTCTACTCTGTGTTGCCTGATGTGTGAGTGTCCGTCTGCTCCTGCTGTGGATTCAGTCTCTACATCCAGCCCATGCTCGACTCTCTCCAATTGACTGTTCTTACAATAGTCAATATTCTTGTAATATATGAGCTGTCATAGTTAATTGGCTTTTTTTGAGCAGTACTGGGATTTGAACTCAGGGCTTTATGCTGGCCAGGCAGGCACTCTACCACTTGAGCCACACCTCAGCCCTTTTTACTTTAGTCATTTTTCAGATAGGTCTCTCTCTTTGCCCAGGCTAATCTGGACTTTGATCCTTCTAGTTATGCTCTCTGTGTAGCTGGGATGACAGGCTTATTCCACACACCCCGCTTTTATCAGAGGAGATGGGCTTCCCAGACTTCTTGCCAGGACTGGCCTTGAACCACAGTCCTCCCAATCTCAACCTCCTAAGTAGCTAGGATTATAGATTGGCTTCACAGTTAATTTTTAAAGTTTTTTAAAAAGTCTTGTAATAGAAAAAGCAACCAGTTTACACTTTCTTCTTTCTTTCCCAGAGGTTACTTTGAGACTGTAAGGGGGTAGGAGGGGAGGCGTGTGGTACTGAGGTTGAATGCTTGGGTTTGTGCTGGCAGGGCAGGCACTGTACCACTGAGCCATGCTTCTGTGCTCTAGTTATTTTGGAAATATATTTCACTTTTTGGAAAATATTTCACTTTTTGTCCAGACTGGCTTGGACTGCTATCCTCCTATTTTAAATTTCTTTTTGCCATGACTGGGATGACAGATACATGCTACCATACCCAGCTTTTTCTGTTGAGATGGGGTCTCACAGATTGTTTTACCTGGCTTGGCTTGAACTGTGGTCTTCCTGATCTCAGCCTCATATGTACGTGCCACCACACCCAGTTATTGGTTGAGGTAGGGTCTCTTGAACTTTGTGCCCAGTCTGGTCTCAAGCTGTGATCTTCCCAATCTCAGTCTTCCAAGTAGTTAGAATTATAGGTGTGAGGCACTGGCACCTGGCTGAGAGTATTCTTATTAAAAGAAAAATGTACTGGGTGCTGGTGGCCCACATCTGCAATCCTAGTTACTCAGGAGGCACAGACCAGGAGGATTGTGGTTCAAAGCCAGGCCAGGCAAATAATTGGCGAGACCCTGTCTCAAAACAATCCATCACAGAAAAGGGCTGGTGGGGAGTGGCTTAAAGTGTTCAAACCCTGAGTTCAATCCCCAGTACCACAAAAAGAAAAGAAAAAAGTAAGGCTGGGATGTACTAGACCACTTGCCTAGCATGGAAGAGGTCCTATGCTCAATCCTCAGCACCACAAAAGAAAAAATGAAAAGAAAAGGAGAAAGTAGGGCTGGCAGTATGGCTCAAGGGCTAGAGCTGCCTACCTAGCAAGAGTGAGGCCCTGAGTTCAAATCCCAGTGCTATAAAAAAACAAAATAATGAAAGTAAACCTAACCTTTCAGTTTATCTCAGTTCTTCGAAATTCTGCGACTTAACTGTTAGCTCTGATATTTCAGACAATCCATACTGACCCTCTAGATTAATTTTCCTCAATCTTCCCTCCATATCCCTGTGTCTTCCCAGTACTGGTGAGACATTATCACATGGTCCTGAGGAAATGGGGTGCAGGCTCCAAGCCTTCTCCCAGGATCCCTTAATTCCTCCAGCAGCAGGTTGTGATAACTTGGGTGAAGGCTTTTTGGGCGTAGCGTACATCCAAATCCCGGACTCCCAGAAGGAAGGCACATTTTGAACGTAAACCACATTGCTTGTGTAAAAAGTGGTTTAGGCCCAAACAAGTTTTGTTTTGGTTTTTTTTTTGAGATGGGATCTGCAGATCCTCCTGTCTCAGCTGCCCAAGTGCTGGGGTTGTAGGCCGGCACCGCATGCCTGGCTTCAGTGAAGTTTTGCATTCATACAGGGAACAGTGAGGTGGCCTGCTGTTCCCACCAGGCCTTTTCTACACAGTTTATAAATATTTTGTCCTCTGAATTGTAAAGCCATTACTTGTCTTCTGAATTACAGTTGAAAAAACCCCTTTTCCCCTTCTTTCTGAAAAATCGGATCAACTATTTATGTCTGATGTTCTGAAATTTCATCATAATATGCCTCAATGGGAACCTTCAAAATTTTTTTTTGAACAGTCAGTGCCTAGTCAGTCACTGGCCTCATTAGGATCTCAGGGATCCGGTTTCTAGTCAAGGGACATTTTTGCTGTAGTTTTATTTTGGTGCTATATCTTTGATGAGATAGCCCTACTATTTTCTGTATTTTAATTTCTAAAATTTCTATTATTTGAATGTAGTTGTTGTTTTAAGTTTTTATTCTGTTCCTTTCTTTTTTCCATTTCTCTATTTTTTTTTTCTGTGTGGGAGAGTTCTTCAAATTTTCCTTCTAGTCCTTCTGTTGAGTCTTTTTCCCTGCTGCTATAATAACACCAAGACTAATTTCTTCTATTTTTCTGTACAGAGGATTGAACCCAAGGCCTTGTGCATGCTAGGCAAGCAGTCTACTGCTTGAGCTGTGCTTTTTTGTTTTTGTTTTGCTTTTGAGATAGGATCTTACTACCTTTGCTCAGGCTGGCCTCAAACTGATGGTCCTTATACCTCTTGCCTCCTGAGTAGCTGGGACTACAGATGTGCACCACCATACCTGGCTTTATTTCTTTGATGGCACACTTTCAAATAGTACTTAAAATGTTTTAGTAAATATTTTAAATATTTGCTAATAAAATATTTTGGCAAGGCATATGTGTGTGTGTGTGTGTGTGTGTGTGTGTGTGTGTAGAATATTTAGAAATTAGAATATTTAGATAAGCCTAAATAAGAAAGTAAAATTGTTTTTCCAATGTCTAGACACTTCCACTCAGAACACCTTAGTTCACTGGCATATGTATATATTTAAGGGTTTCTTCTGCTTTCCTCTTGGCTCTTTCAGTTTTGTTTTCCCTTCAACTCCCTTGCCTGTCTGTTTTGTCTCTGAGTTTTGTTTGCAGAGGAGATTCTCTGGTCTGGTAATTCTGGGTCTTTTTTTTATCTTCATCTTGGTGGCACTGCGTCAGAGCCACAGAGAAAGGCACAGCTCCAAAGTCGCGCGGTCCCTGTGTTTCTTTCTGCAGGAGGCGAGAAGCACACTGGTGGTGGCAGGGAGTCGGGCAGCGACGCCTGGAAGCAGTACATGAGGAGGTCGACTTGGTGAGGCGGGCTCTGGGGAGGTGGCTGTGCTCTCACTGCCCCTGGGAATGCGCTGTCGCTCTCCACTGTCTATCTTTGTGCAGTGTCACTTGCTTTTATTTTTCTAGCATTTCACAGATGTCTCTGCTTAGAGCATCCATTTTCTACTGCAGCCTGACCATCCCTAATCCTAATGCTGCAAAATCTGGAAAATTTTGAACCCCATGTGAAAAATTCCACAAAAATGCAGGCATGTTAAAAAAATGTTCTATAAAGTTACCTCCAGGCTCTGCATATAGGATGTTTATGAAACATGAGTGAGCTTTACATTAGACTTGGGTCTCATCCCCAAGATGGTTCATGTATATGCAAATATTCCAAATCCAAAAAACAAAAAACCCCGAAACACTTCTGGTCCCCCTCTTTTGGACAGTAAGGGACATTTAGCCTACATTATTTTTCCAGCCTTCTTGTCCGGCTTCAGCTAGTGCCCAGTACCCAACTGTGTTTTGGTTTTGGTGGTGCTGAGGTTTGAACTCGGGGCCTTGCACTTGCTTGTCAGCCACTCTGTCACTTGAACCACACCTTCAGCAGGCACTTGGTTGTGAAACTGTCTGGTTCCTGGATTTTATTGAGGAGCAGGACAAGTGCGCATCTACTGGCAGGAGAAGGTAGAAGGAGTTAGTCATTTCATTTTCTCTTGGAATGAGGTTTCCATTCCTGAAGTGTCAAAGCAGGAGAAGATGGAGGCAGGGAGGACCCTGTGGGCCAGGCCAGCAAGTGTGGGGATCAGCTGGGAATAGTGAGCAGGACCCTTGGAATCAGATTAGTTCATTAGCCTAGGCTGACATAGCTAGCAAGGGAGCCTGCTTCTTGGAGATTTTGACTAGGACTTACTTCTTTCTCTTTATTTTCTTGTTTTTGTTTTTGCCATATGTGGATCAAACCCAGAGCCTTGGGCATGCTAGGCAAGAGCTCTTCCACTGCTAGGCAAGTGATCCCTGCTGTTGATCTTACTGGGTCTTACCATTTAGCTCAGGCTGGCCTCGAACTGTTAATTCTCTTGCCTCCACGCCCCACGTACTGGGATTTCAGATATGTTTATCACTCCTGGCAGGACTTGTTTCTTTTAGTTGTATTGTTTTCTCACCCACCCTAGTAGAAATAGCTTTTTAAAAAAATTTATTTATTTTTAATTTTTTTGATGGGACTGGGGTTTGAACTCAGGACTTCACCCTTGCAAAGCAGGCACACTACCACTTGGCCACACCTCCAGTCCATTCTGCTCTGGTTGTTTTGGAGATAGGGTACCCTGAACTGTTTGCCCAGGCTGGCCTCAAACCTCAGTCTTCTGGAGCTCAGCCTCCCAAGTAGCTAGGATTATAGCCATGAGCCACTGTTGCCTGGCCTTAGAAATAGCTTTTATCCAAGTGCAGTAACAGTGCAGTGCTACATTATAGAAAGAGCACTGGGTGAGGAACCCCGCCCCACACCACCTCTCACCAGTTCTGAACTGACCGGGCTCCTCAGCCTTGGCTTCTGACTGTCTTAGTGACTGGATCACTGCCGGGGCCTGCAGAGGGGCTTTGGCTATGGCTTGTCCAGTCTTAAACACGTGCGTGCTGTCTGCTGCCTTTGCATTCTGTAATGTCATTCCCATCAGGGCTGGAGGAGTGGCTCAAGTGGTAGGGTGCCTGCCTAGCAAGCATTGAGGCCATGGGTTCAGACCCCAGTCCTCCCAAAAAATAAAAAACCAAAAATACTTCAGTGAAGTCAGTCCCATCTCTTTTCTTGGGCACACTTAGCTGCAGCTTTTCTGAACCCATTGAGTGGGAGTTGACTTCCTGGTGACTAGTTATAAGGAAGCTTCTTTTTCCAAATTACTATATTTTCTTTCTACCAAACAGAATATTTGTGTTTTACCTGATAATTCAATACAAATTACTGAGAGGTAAAGAAAGTGACAGCCCTATGTTCTTTTGTCCTGCTCAAAAGAGAAACTAAGTTACATGTGGTATTTGTCTGTCTTCCAGACCCTTGTGTTTTTCCTTTTATAAAACTGGGTCCACATTAACATTGCCTTGTATTCTAAATATTTTTCTTCACCAACTTATAACTTGTCAACATAAGCAGAACTAACTTTATAACAGCACAAAAGAATTCTGTATTATGTATGTATCATCATTCATTTAATTCTGTTCATTCCTCCCATTAGCACCATCAACTACAGTAAGGACCTTCCACTGGCCCAAGGAATCAAGTTCCAGTAACAGTGTTTCAGGTGGCATCACTTAGGTAACTCCTGCGGCTGCTCTAAAGAAGACCAGGAAATTAAGATTTGCCCTGAATAAAAACAGCATTTTGAATATGGCAGTGGCTAAATCTCCAAGGACCCCAAATCTCTGACTAAATCAAGAGAATCATGTTTAAAAAAAAAAATCAAAATGAAATGTATACACAGCCATATTTAGTAAAAAAAAAGGGTTGGATGGATTTTTATTACCAGTTGGTCACCAGTTGCCCATGTTTTTTAAAAAGCTTAGTTATTTCATAGTTAGAAAAGGTGCATGCCCTTGTAGTAGTGTGAGAATGTATAAAACAGGCTATAGAAGGAAATAGACGTCTTTGCTGTAGGTGAGGCTGGCTTCTTGTGTTGAGATTTACTTTGATGAATGTTGCAGAGTGCGATTGAAGGGGAGATGTGCTCTTCCGCAGTGAGGACCATAGTGCAGAGTTCTGACGGGGTGGCTCAGTGGTAGAGTGACTGTTTAGCATGCTGAGGCCCTGGGTTCCATCCCCAGCACCACAAGGATAAAAGAGGGGGGATGACAAAGGGTAATCACCACTAGTCATGGCTGTTGTTCCTGGTAACTGTCAGCGCATAAGCGATCTGTGGAGTAGATGTAGATTTCACTCTTTCTCCAGGACCTGCTCCCTAACCAAGGACTGTAGGGCTAAAGCTGCCCGTGTAGAATTCTATCAAAAGCCCATGTGGTGTCTTGTGACTCTTAAATGCATTTTATTTAGCTGTTAGGCTTTTACAGTTGGCCTTGGGTTTATTCTCCACCCATTGATCCTCCATGTGGCCGCACGTGCTCTCAGGGAACTTGGGAAGGTGACTTGGTCTCTGCTGAGAGGCTGACTTCCCACTGGGAAGCTGTGCAGGAGCCTGTGTCTTGTGGGCACTCGTGCTCCCCTTCTGTGTAGCAGCTACACACACCTTTGTAAAAGAGGACATTTGTTCATAACTGACATGTCGATTGAGGAAAGATTTGGACAATGGGCAAAGGGTTTGGGGTTGAATTATGACAGAGAGACACAAGCAAACAAAAAAAACCAAGTTACCATAAATATATCAGGGAAAGAAAGGTATTCCTGATGGGCTCCATGACCAGCTGTGTATACCATGCTGTTGTCACCACTGGAAATGAATCAAGCCGAATACTGACCTACCTCAGAGAGAATGATAGCATGAAGACAAAGGCAAAGGTAGGTGAGAAGTAGACAGGTCTTCATTTTCTATAGCAAAAAATCAGTAATGCCCCAAATCACTAAAGCAAGAAGCAGCAACATGGTCTAGTTAAGATAGGGAAGTAGGTTCTGGAAAAGTCATCACTGTGGGCTCGGGGCATGGAGACATGAGGAATCACTACGTTTTATAACAAGCATTGTAGAGCTGTCTGTTTAGACATGGTCTCACTAGGTAGCCCAGGCTGGCCTCAATCTTGGGATCTTCCTGCCTCCATCTCCCTGATGCTGGGATTGCAGGCATGGACTTCCATACCTGGCTAATTTGATACTTAGAGATTGTGTACCTTTGCTAAAAATTAAACAGAAAGGAAAATGGGACTGGAGAATCAGGTACTTGGAATTCTACATTTCCAGGCCCTGTTCCTCTACCTTCCAGAACACAAGTGTGTACTTCTGTTTGCTCCTCATTATTGAACTGAAAACTATTTTTAAATAGCTCAAGAAATATCCCATTGAAAACCACATTTTTCTCCATGTTTTCAGGTTCAAAATAGTTTTGAGAGAGAAATTCTGAAAACACACTGATTTAAAAAAATTGTGAGATTTGGGCATTAACTTAAAAGTGTCATGCATTTTTTTTCATTTTTGCATCACAATGTTTAAGTATTCTAGCCCTGTCTGAAGAAAATTTAGCATTTTAATGATTTTTAGTAGCCAGGCCTTTTGCACACAACTGTGATCCCAGCACTTAGGAGGATCACGGGTTTGAGGCCAGCCTGGGCTACAAAGCAAGACTTGTCTCAAAAAAAAAAGACTAAAGCTGGGCGTGGTGGTGCACACCTATCATCCTGGCTATGCAATGCAGGACGCATAGATAGGATCTCGGTCGTAAAAGCCTATATCAAAAACAACCAATGCAGGCTTGCAGTGTGGCTCAAGTTGTAAGAGCACTTGCCTGGCAAGTGGGAGGCCTTGAGTTCAAACTTCAGTACAGCAAAAAAAAAAAAAAAAAAAACCACCAATGCAAAGAGGGCTGGCAGAGAGGCTGAAGTGGTAGACTGCCTGCTAGCAAGCACCAAGTTCTAAGTTCAGCTTCTCAGTACTTCCCTCACCACCCCTCCAAAAAAAGATTTTTAGTAATCATGCAATAATAGGCCATTTTCTGTTTCTGAAATTGTGCAAATTATTTTTAATTATGTTTTTACAACCTGTTTTCTGTTTTCTCAGCATTACATTTTAAAACAAGTATTCCAAAATACAAGCTGTATTTTGATTTTAAACATTTCACTTTTATACTATATCTCTCCTGTTAGATATTTATGGAGGCTCTCCATCCTCCTGTGTATCTGTTTAGGTCACAATGTTGTGGCCACACATTACTTTTCTTGTATGCTGGTTACTGACCCCTCCTAAGGGGTGACTGGAAGCTGTCATCTTATGTATAGAACTTGGGCAAAACCAATTCTGGAAGCTTTCTTTGAAACTGCTTCATAAATTTCCTACATGTTTCTAGCACAATAAGGACTCACTTTCGTAATAATGTTCATTAAAAAGTTTTAAATAGTTCCTTTCTTTTTACTGTCTTAACAAATAAAAGTTGCTTATTAATATTTTTAACTACAAAATAAAAATGTACATCTCTGTATGTTATTGCTTGCCATTTATTCAAAGGTGCTAGGAGTCTTGTTTTTCTGATTACTGGTTATTTTGAGTGTTTGGGCCACTCCTCGCTCTTAAGTTCTGTGTTTCTGACCCCTTCCCGACCTCCACTGTGTGCATGAGGCATTGTGGTTAGCATGCTTGTATCTGATGCTGCAGAAACCCTAACCTCAGAGTCTGGCTGTGCTGCTGCAGTCCCTGGAGAGCAATCGGTGGCCCTTGTGAAGGCAGGCTCTGTGGTTCCTGAGGAAGTAGAAGGACCTGGCTCCTAGCTTCCATGTAGGAGGCTGGGTAGGTCTCCCTCCCGCCATTAAGACCTTAAAGGATGGAAATGAAGTTTTCTCAGAGGAAATCCAATGAGGCGTTTTAGCATAGAATGGAGGTAGAAAGGTTATGTTTGGGAATTGGTAATGAGAGAATATCTTAAATTGATGAACTGAAAAATAGCAACACAAGTTTATTATTTAGAAATGTGGAGGTAGGTTTCTTTAAAGAATAATTCTAAGACCCTCCTTCCCCCATTTTATGTTCTCTCTCATAGCATACTACTGCTCTTATGCAAGCTATACCTCTGTATTTATGCATTATCTCATTAAATTACAAAGTACGTTGTAGTAGGAATCAGTACTTTTTTGTTCCTACAGAAAGCTATTGCTGTGGAATGGCTCAAGTGGTAGAGTGCCTGCCTAGCAAGTTTGAGGTCCTGAGTTCAAACCCCAGTACCACCAAGATTTTTTTTCAGAAAACTGTCAAATATTTGTTAAGTGAATAGATATTAATAAATTAATTCATTAATTTTAATGTATTTACTCATGGCAACTTTCAAAGATTTGAAGTGGATAAATGATAATGTAATATCCATTAATTTATTCATTTATTCTGATGATTCAATTTTTACTCAAACTATTATAAAGTTTTTGTATCTGAAATAAAAGAAGTGTGGAGGTAGGTACATGTTACGATTTATCTAAATTCATTTCCCCTTCAAATATCAAATAATTGTTCAGTTGCAGCTATGTAAAACCAAGGCAAGAAGTTGTAAATTAGTATCATGCCCACTTCTCTAATCTTTTTTATTTTTCCCTGAAGCTAATAATTACCCTTCTTCTTGCTTACTTTGCTTTTTATTATTATTATTATGGAAGCACACAACATAAAAGTCATCATAGCCATTCTAAAGTGTGCAGTTCAGTAGCTCTTAGCACATTTATAAGTTGTGCAACCCTCACTGCTGTCAATTTCAGAGCATTATCTCCCAAAAAAGGAAGCCCATGCCTGTGAAGCAGTCATTTCCCAGTCTTCACCAGTCTGCTTTCCATCTCTATGGATTTGCCTATTCTGGATATTTCACACAGATAGAATCTAATATTACTAATCATTTCCAAGTGTTTGAATGATCTCTGTCACATGCCTACCAATAATGTTTTCCAGTTACTCAGTATCAGTTTCAGTTTTTGCTTTTTTGGAACACACTCTCCAAGTGCACTCGGTCCTAGTGCTTCAGTTCGGCTGCTCCTAGGGCTGCTAGGGCTGCTGTTCTTCTACATTACAGCCCCCTGTTCCCAGGATCCTGTGTTTTCCTCTCTATTGCTTTATACCCTTCTTTTGCTGGAGCACATCCTGCAGCAACTTCCTAACAATGACTATTTTGGGTGTAATTGAAAAAAACAAACAAAAAAACCCTCTCCCATCTAAAGGAAAGGACTTTATCCACACTGATTGTGTATAGAATTCTGGATTTATAATGTTAAGATAGTTTTGTTTTTATTCTTCTGGAAAGCTACATAAATGTTCTATAGAGTTTACATTTTAATCTTTAATCCATTTGGAATTTGGGTAAATGTTACGATTTATCTAAGTAGATTTCTTTTGGTATCTATTTTCCCCACCTCTAGTTTGATAAATGAGTTTTTCCTTCCCCAATGGTGTATTCTTAAGCATACCAGGATTGATTTTTAGGCTGTATGTTCAAGTTCAGTATCAGGTGTGTGTGAACCAATGGATTAAATTCCTGTGGTCTTTTAAGTTTCTTTTATTAAATTTGTATTGGAGTCCTACACATGTTATCTATGTGACCTTCAGAAAATAACCTACAGTTTTTGAACTTCTTATCTATAATATGGGATATAGCAGTTTGTCATCTTTGTTACAAGATAAGCCAATTCTGTCTATATCACACATGGAATGTTTTAGAAGTCCGGCTGGCTCACTCAGTCTGCCCCTCCAGTATTCTCACTGCT